TTTTTATCTTTTTTTTGGTGGCGGTTGATTTCTCAAGGAATGTTGGTTTGATTTTGGCTGATTTTGGATGGTACAACGGCGCCTTCGCGGGTACACTCTCCTCTTGTTAGGTGTAGTGTCCCACCTCCCTTCCATTCATTCACCAGCCACCGGCCTTACCTAGGCCGTGTCATGTGGGCCCAGTTCAGGGCACCACCATTTTCATTGTATTATTATAGCCCTTTTAACATTTCATTTCCACTTTAGCTTCTTAACACAATCATCAACACTTCTTGTGCCTACACTACGGCATTTCCTTTCTCCATCACTTGCAGCACACTAGTTCTGACGTTACATGCGGTTATGTTTTATCCTGTTGTACACTCTGTGCCTCTTGGTCCTTTGACGAGGCCTTCCTCTTCTTTTTCGATCTTTAAGACTTTGTCCGATAAGGGACGGTTATGAGAAAATGTAGAAGAATGGAAAAGAAAAATATGATGATAGAGAAAAACAACGTGAAAGCTTGGCTTTTACAACTCTTATTCATTTGCTAGACATATGTAGTTACCAACCTGCTTAGCAATGTCGTTGAAGTTGTGTCACACAAACCATCAAGAACCATCATGCAGCAGCAGATTGCACTTCATGCTCCACAGAAAGAAAGGGTACCTACTCAACTGTACCTGGGATAGATAACTGGATGTACGGTGCAAGACATAGCTAACTATAGGTAGGTAGGCTTAGGTTGCACGCTTTTGACTTTAGGCAAGAGTGAAGATGGTACTCGTCAGATCTTGAAAAACGACCTTCTGACTAGCGGGCGGGCCATCTTGAAGACTTGACGAGTATTGGAACAGTTCGCCATGTGTTGGACAGCATTTAGTCATCTCTTGGCGTTGTGAGGCTTTACTGTTGTTGGAGTGTACCTGATAGTACTTGTAAGGTACCTCTAGGTGTAACATTGCTCAGCATTGACATTCGTCGGTCAATGTCTTGAATGCGAAGGAAAGTATCCCCAAAATATCAAGTTGTATAAAGATTGCCCCTGACATCTTTATCGAAAAATTACACCCACACACACACAGAATACGTATAGTCAAAACGAGATACCACGACTTGTGAGCTTCGGATACTGAGCAAAAAAGTCCGGGGAAAAAGGTTTGACGGTTTACAGAATTCAGCACTTGCACAAGCGAAGTCCCGTTCCGAGTACCATCATGGTCCATTCATTACTCCGCCTGGGGACATTCATTCTGGGGAAACACGTGGGAATGATAGATTGTTATCCATGCTGTGTCGTACAAAACAGGCGTCAATGGCATGGTGACACAGTGGGGTGTTGTACACTACAGAGTTGCACCGAGTTGCAGCCAGAGATGGATGTCAGGGCCGAAATTTCCAAAGCTTGCCAGGGAACTGTAACCGCCAAGACACAAACCTGGAAAACAAAGAGGGCATCGTCAACGACAATGTCACCTTTTTTTTTTTCCCTTCCCCTCTGGACTTCTCAAGCGGAGAAGGGATTCGGGTACTGTAGACTACCGCAGTTGTTGCCTGAGCGCTACACTTTGTCTAATCCCGCGTGAGGGACAGGCCGACACTTGGTTGTTTTTGCTGCAAAGGACTCCAGAAAAGGAAATAGGGCGGCGATAGGGAGGGGTTGGGTGCGAGCCTTCGAGGTGCTTGAGGGGTTGAAGGATCAGCGCTCAGATGTGAATTATATACACTATACGAGAAAAGTCCGAAGTGTGCACCATCTACACACATTACCTTCACTACACTATACTAGTTTGGTGTTGATGATCTCTTCATCCTTGAAGTCCGGGGAAGCTGGACCACAACCTAGACTTGAGTGATAAGAGTTATATACTATAGTATAAGGTGAATTATGGAGCTCAGACCGGGATCGACTTCTTGACCTTTCCTTGTTGTCCTTTGTGTAGGATTGTTGGAACGTTTGCACGGACTCTCCTCGGCTGTCTTCTCAAGGTGAGTCGGTACACTACCTACTAGTTTCCTGACCGGCTGCTAGTGTACGACAATCACTGCGTCAGTGGCGGTATTATCGACACCGTCTTTCTATAATTGCAATTGCACGTGTGCATTCACAGCTGTGCAATGACAGAGTCCTGACTGAGAACTGAAAGTATGTGGTCTGAAAGAGGCTCAGATAGGAATCGAATCATTTTCTCTTTCGCATATTACTGGGCTGACCAATATGATCAAGTGTGGCGGCGGCGGGAGATCGGTCAGTTAGATTTCGAGATAGCGTGTGTAGTGTAGGAGGAAGAAAAAGAAAAGCAAGACAAAGGAACCCTTCCGAGACAGTCAGAACGTTGCAGTCTGATTGGCTGGAAGAACAAATGGCCTGTCCGAAGTGGTTCCATGCGCCAATCTGGATTCACGGCCCGTCGCGCGCGTTCTTAGAGGGGAATCCGGTGGGGTACACAGTGGAACCCCCCGGTTTTTATTTTAGAGAATCCAAACTTCCACTCATCAGCTCTTTCACTGCACATTTTCCCACTGTTCACTGTGTTCACTGGAGCCAGACTCGACAAAATTCTGGGGTATGCGGGGTAAACTAAGCGAATGGCAAAGTTCAGACCCGGCAGATACACAAAACCTGGGGAAACAGATGCACGAGGAGACGAAGGGCGGAAGGATTGCGAGTGGTTCACCAAGGTGGAGGTTTGTAGTGGTGTGTGAACTCGGTGCCCTCCTCCACATGATGAATGATCGCTCATCAAGATATCATATTCTTGAAGTCGAGCTCATCTGCCATGTGCCATGTGAAGCTATCACGGGTTCTTGAACCAGGACTTACCTCCCCCATTACCCCTTGGTAATTTCCCCTCGGCGCCACACAGGCCCGTGACGCCGACGAGGTCTTCAGACCTTCTGATGCGGGGAAAGGGCCCGATTCATTGCTCAGGGATCACACCATGGCTGAAGCCATCGACGGCTTGACGCAGGGGCAAACTTTAGCTCCTTGGTATATGTTGGTGGTCACGGGTGCAGCCTAGGCCGAGAAGGCCGTTGCCCGGCATGTATGGTATGTAGTGTAGAAGTACTTCTGCCACTGAGAGACCTCCGTTTCCCCCCTCCGTTTTCTCATCGCTGGAGCTTCCAATCCCCCAGTCTCCGCATTACAAGCGCGCGCAAAGCAGTGTACCTACTGCAGCTTGTCATGTCGTGCCAAAGATATCTGTCTAACCTCTGCCGAACATTGCCGGTCTTGGGTAACATCTCGGCACCTGCCTCCACAACAGCCGAGGCACCTGACAGAATCTGGACGCTTCCATCCGGACAAAGATGAAAGAAAGCTGGATGGGGCAAGAAAAGCAGCACTGGCAAGATGGCGATGGCAGTAGGTAGCCAAGCTAGCGGTTTGGCGCCAATCAACCAAGGTTCTTGCTTTCCTTGAGCTTTCAGGAAGAGATAGATCTCTTCAACAAACTCCTCAATGGCAAGCCAACTACAACATGCAGCAGCAAGTCATCACACACCACACAGTCTTTGAGACAAGTCTAACCTCGTCACCACAGCCAAATCATCACCGGCTATTTCCATAGTAGCAAGTCTAGCAGGGTTGTCGTTCCACTTGAGCTTCGGCCAGTTTGCGGGGAGCCACGGGCGGGAAGACGGGAATCATGGCGGGGCCCCGGATTTTTGCCCTTTCCCCTCGCGTTAGCACACTTCTCCAGTCTCATTGGTCAATAGTTGGTTCATTAGAAGGAAAGTCTGCAAATCTCGTGTGAAGCTTGTGTCTCCCTTGACCCATTCTCTTGTGGACTGTGAGAGTGGGAAAGCGAAGAAAGCAATGGTTTACGAAAGAGGTAAGAAACGGGAGCCATGTCGCCTCAACGTCCAGTCCCCAAAGAGGACCATTCACGGACCACATCGGATAGCAGTGGAGAGAGTAGTACCAGACCCGAACTTGGCCCTTGTCTGGTTCGGTCCGTCGTATCGCTGTCGATCGGTCCTTTACCATCTTGCCGTCCACTTTTTGGGCTTAGGGCTGCCAAAATCCAATGGTCGTCATCAGTGACAAATTAGCCAGAATCCTGGTCACTTTTGTTCTGCCAGCCGAGGGGTGTATGTAGGCAGTCTGTTGTGTCCGGACATGAGATTGCTCCACTGCGTGGTTAGGTATCACAAGACGACGCTCAGGGACCGTCCCTCTTTCCCATGTTTCCCTACCTACAGGTGCCAGTCTACCGCTCCAATGATCTATGGAACCAACGGCCAGGGCTTAGCCAAGAAAGACGGCAAACTGGATCATGATAGCCACGGGCAATACAAATGGTAATGTTAAAACCACTCAGGTGGGCAGCATACGTCTAACGGGTTGTCTCTGCCGTCGGGTTTATGCCAATATCTACCAGCACCATCACGCGTTGTGTATTGGATATACATCTTGGTGGTCTGCGTCTAGGCTGTGTTCTGTCACCCGATGTTCGAGGATCTTAGATAGGTACTGGACATTGTTCATCAAATTTTGGTTTGCAGCATAACTATGTTACTGATTATAGGATTGAGCGGGTGGAGTAACCCATCCCCTTGAGTGGCAATTGGGAGAAGGTATAGTTAACCTACATAGTCATTTTATACTCAACAACTATGTGGAGTTTCACCATTCATCCCTACCTGAACGCTGTAAGGTATCAATCACATCAGTTGATATTCTCATTATTGGAATCCTAGGTAGTTTCCTCACAAGCCCAACACCCAATCTCGTAATCAGACCACAACTACCGGATCAGGATGTCACTACCTATCGCAACCGACTCCCATGTCCCGACCATCTATCTCCCCAAAGCCCGTCCATGTCCATTGGGAATGGGCGCGTTCGGTACCATATCCTGGGAGCTCGTCCTGGGAAATCCGAGTCTCCGGACTGTAATCCCGGGGATCGTCTCCATTCCCTCCCCATCGGCGGCGGTCTCCATCGGCATTTGAATTTCAGAGTCTGAAGTCTGGAGCAGTCAGGGTCTTCTACCATTTATATTCTGTGTAACTGTGCTTTGCTTTCCCTGCATCTCCCAACAGCCGAACCGAATTTGATGCGGTCATGTCCAGTGCCGTGGTTCGCTCGTCTCGGTTTTGCTCGCTTCGCTACCGAGTACCGGTTCCAGAGACACGGGACGAACAACGTACGACAGGACAGCAGGACAGTCGTAGTACAGTAAGCACACAACCAACGGCACCCATGGCGCGGGATTGGGACATGAATGGTGCGGGACGACAGAGGGACATGGACGATGTGGAAGGTTTGTGTTACTCGAGTTTCGCCCCATTGAACGCATCACATGCATAAGATAGGTACTGTGCTGGAAAACGGAGGGAGAAAATGCCGTGTTACTATAATACAGCATGAGAGGATAGGTGATTCGAGGTCGCTACGACAAAAGAATGAGCTCAACTGATTTTTACAGGATACGCAAGCGCAGTGGGTGGGCAGAGTAAAGTACAACAAGTAAAGTGCTAGCAATGGCAAGCGAAGTAAATACCTTGTATCGCGTGGATATTGATATCTCTGCCTGTTCACTTTGATTTGAAGGTCGAAAGGTCTGGACGCTGCGAGAACAATTCTTTTCAGCATTTGAAAGTTGGGTTGGAGTGAAGTTCTGACACCTGGAAAACAGCAGAAGGAACGTTGGCATGTATGACTCGAGTGTCGGATGGGAGATGATATTGGCTGACGATGACATTGAATGATGTGGCTTGGTGCTCGACAAATCTCGGCTTCCGGAAATATTATTCAAAGGTCGAACATGGCCTGACAACAACATGAATCAGTGATCGTACCTGCTTCTGTCTCTTCTTGAAAATCACTGGGCTTCGAAGATTCTGGTTAAAATCTCTTTTAACCTTTTGACCTCTTCCACTTACTTCGCTCCAAAACCGGCAGTTTTGAGGATACCTTCATATCATCAATCCAACGGACACTCGCTTGTTGTTCATCTCCCAGATATCTCAACTCATTATCGATGATTGATGGTCGTTCCCGACTACACCACCATGTACAACCAACGGATCGGGCGTCAAGAAGCTCGAGGGTAGGGGCCCCAACAACAACTGACACCACCGGCCTCCACAGAGCCTCAACAGGTTCAACCGCAGACTGATCCGCAGGTCACTCGAGACAGCAGCGATTCGAGTGAACGCACTTTAGATATCGTCGACAACTGCTTCGGCCAGGACAGTTTGAGACCGTTTTGTCGGCAGCCGCCGCAATGTCACACTGCGTTGTCTTTGGAACATGATAACAAGGCATTGGAGACCTCCATGATCGTTAGTTGTGTATTGACGGCACTTGGTACAATTTGCGCCTTGTGTGCTCGCCGCTCGAGACAACTGCCTATCGAATTCATGATGCAGAAGCGCAAAGGAGATGAAGCCGATCGATCTCTACTAGATGTCCGTTGTCCTTGTTTAAACAAGGGGATGTCCTGCATAGAGGGCGAAGGAGGGATGGTTTTGAGAAAGGGAGGCTAAGAGGACCTCATAGTGATTGTAGGTTTTGAGGTCGACGCCAGTAGTCTCTCATGACAGACGTTCAACCGAATGTGTCATTCAGCCCCCATCCGCTCCGCCGCCACATGTGGCGCAATCTCTTTATACCCTTTGGGTTTAAATGGTGTAACATTACTTGTGTACACTATGTATGTAATAGGATCGATGGGTGGGTGAGTGTGGTGAGGAGCTGTATTGTCCTTGAATTGACCAATATGGCGCGATCATCGTGAGTGCGGGGTAGCTTAATGGGGAGCTCGGGGAGCTACGGGGGCGGCCGGGCCACGGGGGACCATCCAGCTGTTATTTTTCAGGGTGCACCACCTACGCCATCACTAACACGCCTTTGCGCCGTGCTCCCCGTTGCGGGGCAGGCAGCGTCTTTGACCCTGAACACGACCGGAGCTGCCCGTCGTCATGATCGCTATCTCCACCCCGGATCCCGGAGGTAAGCTCGGAAGTTCATTCGAAACGTTGTGTATCATCACTTATCAAAGCTCATTTCCCTTTTGTCGTTTATCTCATGTTTTCCATAAGAACAACACCTCCGCCAGTAGCAGTATCAAGACTTGCAGCTAGATATCTGACTACCATCTCCTCGGCATTTAGAACCACCACTCACACTCTCCCGGCAACACTTGGTCATTACAATTCCAGAACTTTGCGCGGACTCACCATCCCTATCTTTTCTTTTCCTTCTACTAATACCAAACTTTTTGCGAACTTTCTTCGCCAAACAAAAAGAACAATGTCCTCAGCAGTAGCCAAACGCCTCGCGGGCAAGACCATTGTCATAACCGGAGCGTCATCAGGAATCGGGCGTAGCACAGCCTTCGAGTTTGCGCGGACCGCGCCCAACCACGGCCTCAAGCTGATCCTGACGGCCCGCCGCGTCGATGCCCTTGAGCAAATTGCCAAGGAGATCCGCCAAGAGGTTGGCGAGGGCGTGCAAGTGCTGCCTGTCAAGCTGGACGTGAGCCAGCCGGAGGAGGTCAGGGGGTTTGTTGGGAACTTGCCCGAGGAGTGGAGGGATATCCATGTGCTGGTCAATAATGCGTAAGTTTCTGTGACCCCGTCAGATGAGAATGATCAAGGAGATTGAGAAGAAGGGAAACAAAAATACAATTTTTTAAAAAAAAAAGAAGAGACAAAAATAGCTAATGAAAATGATACATGTACAGTGGTCTCGTAAAAGGAGGTTTGTGCTGCTCCCTAACCTAACCAACCTCCAAAACCTCACTTAAAAAGCTAGTACTAACCCTCCGAAACAATTCAACAAAGTCGCCCAAGCTCCCTCCATCGCCGAAGAAGACATCAACGTCATGTTTGCCACCAACGTCACCGGCCTGATCAACATGACCCAAGCCATCCTGCCCATCTTCAAGGCCCGCGGCTCCGAGGGTGGTTCAGGAGACATTGTGAACATTGGTTCTATTGCCGGGAGAGAACCATACGCAGGAGGCTCCATCTACTGCGCCACCAAGGCCGCTGTGCGCAGCTTCACCGACGCGCTGCGCAAGGAGCTGATCGCCACGCGCATCCGTGTCATGGAGATTGACCCTGGCCAGGTTGAGACCGAGTTCAGCGTGGTGAGGTTCTATGGTGATAAGAGCAAGGCTGATGCCGTCTATGCCGGCGTCGATCCCTTGACGCCCGATGATATCGCAGAGATCGTGGTGTTCGTCGCAACACGACGGGAGAACGTTGTTGTTGCTGATACCCTGGTTTTCCCGAGCCATCAGGTACGTTTCACTCGTGATTATTCTGTTTGTGGGATTATGAAGGTGTATAACTGACTGATTGACTGATGTTGCAGGCTGGTGCTGGTGTTATGCACCGCAAGTCGACATGAAAAGACAGTCAACAGGGTTGTTGATAAGCGTATAGACGTACATATAGAGCTGAGATGTGTGAATACTAAAAAGGGATAAGACGTCAGTTCAACGCAAACGTGATTACCACACCCCCACTGCAGCATACAGTCTTCGACTGGGTTGAGCACTGATCTGATCTTGGATCTTCTTTGAATTTACTATTTTTTTTACCAGTCATTCATCCGCCAACTAAAGATGCAGATTTGGTATCTCGTTCAATGCTTGATTATCTTACAATGTATAACACCATCCACCTCATTCTCATTAAATGCCCCCTCCTCCACAGTTCAGTGCGTTTCCCGACCCTCGATTTCATTCTTAAAGGACGCAATATCCCCAGGGAACAGTTGGGACACTGGTGCATTTTCGCCGTGCCCGATCTCTTTAAGAATGAGTATCCCTTCACTCAGAGAACTTGCTATCAACTGGTGTTGTCCGGCCGTTGGTATGTGACATGCTGAATGGAGCCTGTAGAACATAGGTAATCAGTAGTTAGTAAACTGAAAGAAGGGACACATATGACCGTTACATACCAGAACTTCCTTGGCGTGACATATCCTCCAAGCCAACCTGCGGACGTTTCCGTCCGCAAGCACAACCGCAGGGGCAAAGTCGATACCGAACATATGACGAATAGCGTACACAACACGCCTGGCATACTTGCCATCCCTTTCGACATGGCCGCCGAAACGCTCTTCCGCATTGCTGGGCGCAATATCGGGGTCGCGGTCCAGGCAGTTACGGATGACTGGCAGGAGAGCTGTCTCAACGGCGCGCTCACCAACTTCTCCGCTGATATCGACGCCCATGTGCTCGTCGTCGAACTTGGGAATCTGGATTTCGAAAGGCTCCGAGATGGACATGACGTGGTGTCCGCCACCGTGGTGGTAACGGAATTCGAACACACCCTGTGTCCACCAAAGCTTGTCACCCTCGAAGATCATCTCACCCTCAACGAGATCCGTGTCCTCAGACTTCTTCTCGACAGGCTGGTCCCAGACGAGAATGCCCTGGTCGGTGGTGGTGTCGTACTCCCCAGGGTTGGTTGGTACCCAACGGCCAAGAGACGGAACCTCGGTGACCTCCCTAGAGCGATTGTCCGTGACCATGTAGAGACCGACCCAGTCCTTCTTGCTATGATTGGCGGGCGCAGTCCACTTGACGCGAATCGGGGCACCGTACTCGAACGCCTGGGTTTTGACATCCTTCAGCACGCGGGCGTTGGGGCTTTCCTTGCCCGTGGCCTTTTCATTCATACCCACAACACGTGTACCAGCCAGAGACAGACCATAATGCTTGGGATCATAGCCCGCAAGGTCGGCTGAAATCTTGCTGAGAGTGAGACGAGCGGGGTACTTGTTGAACAGAGCTGAAGTATCCTTGACAATGGTGGATGATCCAGTGGCGAGTCTGGAGCGAGCAGCATCTACGAACTCATCGATGAAGTGCTTTGTCTCATCCAGGACCTTGTCGATACTCTGCTGCCACTCAGTAACAGGGGGAGGTAGAGAACGCTTGATGAACTTGGTGACGCCGGCATCATCACGCAGGTTGCGGCCATAAACCTTTTGCATGTGAGGCTTCTCAACATACGCGAGGAACGCAAGAGTGAGGAAGTGGCCGGCAAGAGCCATGAGGAAGATGGCGCGGGACCAGGTGATCAGGGCAGCGCCCCATAAGCCAGCAGTACCAAAGACGCGCTCGGGGTTGTTGAGGAAGCGGTAGATAGAAGTATAAGTCAGCTGCCTCTTGCTGTCGAAGAAGAAATCGCCATAGAACCATCCGAATTCGCCTAGCGACTCGTAGATGCTGGTGGCGGTCCAGACCTGGAGGGCAATCAAACTCAGGCCAACGACGTGCTTGAGAAGCGCCCAGCCGTAGGTCCAATCGGCGGGGAATTCATACATTTTGTAACAGGCAGCGATAAAGGAGGCGTGGCAGAGGCAGTTACTCAGGTGGTAGATGCCCTTCCACTGGCGCCAGGCCTCGCCCACGCTCTCGCCGTACTTCAAGAAGTGCCTAGTGAACATCTTCTCCTCAGACTGCATGGTCAAAATCACTCCCAAACCGAAAGAGTACCACAAACGCCAAGCCAAAGCATGCAACACGAAAAGGGCTTGGTAAAAGCGGGTGTTGGGAGTGACCATAGTGACGACAGCGAGGTAAGCACAGAGGAGCACGATGGCAACGTCCGTGATACGGAAGAAGTCGAGGTTCTTGAGACCGATGAGGTTGTGGACGGGCAGCGGGGTATTGTCATGTCTTCCGGTTGTGGAAGGGACAGAGTACTCGGAAGCAAACTCCTGCAACTGACTACCAGCCTCCGACTCGCACCTCACACGGGGCTGAGGCGGGTTATAGGTCTTCTCGATATGAGGATTCTCGACGATTACCAAGAAGGCGAATTGGGCGGCATGGGCGATGATGGAGATAAACAGGACGTCGTAGCTCGCGGCCATCATGGAAATACCGTAGTACCCAGCGTATCCGATGGAGTACATGGGGTGAGGAGCCAGCTCGAAGACACCATCGAAGGTAAGTTCCTGCTCAATGAGGTAAAAGAAGTCTAGTGTGGTCAGTTCCCGTGTCCTGTGAGATTCGGCCCAGGCAGTTCAACTTACCACCCCAGTACCAAGCATAGTCCTTCACAACACGATGAGCATCCAGCTTAACCCATAGGTTGAAGCCAACGAGCGTGATTCCAGCAGCCCAACGGGCAGTGCACATGAACAAACCCTCTCCGTCCGGCTTGTGCGCGCAGACGATAGCGAACAGGCAGTAGGAAATGAAGTCGCACATGAGAATCAAATCGACGACGCGGCGGAAGGTAAGCCAAGTGTTGTACTCGATAGGAGCCTCTTCAAACTTGTAATCCTGAGGGATCTTGGTCTCGAGTTCCTTCTTGAGCAAATTGTAAAGCCATGGGCGCGGGTTCTTGCCAGTCGCGGGGTTCTCAAACAGCTTCCACCTCTTGGCCCAAGTCACTAGGAGCTTGTACTTGGACTGAATCGTCAACAGGTAACCAATGCCGACATTGTAAGCCAATCTCCAGAACATGAAGATGGCGGCAAAGAGAGGCCTCTTGACACCCCACGGCAGGTAGTAAGCGGCGAGGAAGTGTAGAGCGATGATGGCGAGCACGGCGACATCTGAGAGGTTCTTGGGCTCGCGAGGGTCGAGCAGCTGGGTGACCATGTCATGGGTCGTGGGGACGACGAAGACTAAACATTGGGAGGGGGTGTGTTAGTTCATCCCAGGTCTAACTCGGCTGTAAAGATTGAAGACAAGACGCCGAAGTATTTTCTCACCTGTGCCATCTGGAGTTTTGCCGTATGTCTTTTTGACCCTTGACGCAGCGGCATTGGCCTCTGATTGCTGCTGCTGCTGCTTCTGCTGCGAAGTGTCCTCTACATTCTCGCTGGTCGCCGATGCGGTAGGATGCCGTTGGCGGACATCACTGTTGAGCCTGGCGGCAGAGGGATCTGCTGCTGAGGAGCTCATTTTAGGTCACGGTGTTGAAAACCGGATTGACGTGTAGATTTGTTAAAAGCGCCGAGCTTGTGTAACGTATTGAACATCCCAAGAGGGAAACAGGAACGGGAACGGCGAAATCGGATCAACGGCAGTCTTGTACTCAATTGGCTCGCCCGAATTCTTGGGCGCTGAAGCGTGACCACCACAAGGAATCCCCGACAATGACTCGGAAAAGTTCAGGAAAGTGCCAAGCTTTGTTGTTGGTTAACCGACGATGAGACAACCAAACAAGGCAAGGGGCGGGATGACAAAAAACGGACTGGCCAGAAATGGTGTTCCTTTCGTTATTGACTTTTCTATGTTGTTGTTTTCTGGAGACGACGTCACGAAGACAATCAACTTAACTGAAGCATAAGTAAGGCAGATAGATGGATAAAGAAAGTGTCGGGAAATGTCACGTCAGTCACTCCTCACGAATACCGTCGACGAGACAAATGAACAGAGTAGGAAGCCCATCTTCACATGCAATTCATGGTGCTTCTCAAGTCAACAAACTCATGTGGGTTCAGGGAAGATCCTTGTCTTGCTAGAGTGTCGATGCCCCTCTTTTCTCTCGTGCTCCCCTCCTCTGTGCCTTCTTCGCCAACAACGGCTCGCGGCTCTTCCGGGAAACGGGGGATCGCCCACTCGGGAAATAGGACACTGGACACGGTATGCGCAGTGCGCGGAGACCCGAAGGCGTGCAGTCAGTTGTTGAGCGATCCCGGGCTTGTGTCTTTGCAATTGGATGATAGAGCCGAGCGCGCGTTGTCCAGAGGATTCGGGAAGCATCTCTATGGCGGTGCAAAACTGGAGAACTGCAGATATAAAAAGCCTATGTAGTGTAAAAACGGCCTGGAACCCGCTTATTGTGCGGAAAGAGAATCCGGTCTTCGCCTTGTCAGAAAACCCACCAAGAGCTAGGTTGTATTGGAAAGGAAGGAGGAGGGGAATCTGAGGGTGGATAGTTTCCATGGTTTGAGGCTGGAAATTCGGGCCTGGAGATGACAACCAGCTGCCAATATACGCAATTGTCGATACGCTAATCTACACACCATTGACGCCCTAACGTCTTGGTGTATCTGGGATTAGTGTCTGTTAGTAATAGCTCACATGATTGGCTAGTTTAGCTGTAGAACGCCATTAATATTACTAACAGAACGTCATCAAAGTGACGAGCTTTCCCATATCTTTGTTACAGTGTAGCATGTATGCCCCTCCACACTCTCTTCAGTCTTCACATCCAGGTTCCACCTCAACAACTTTCGAAACAACCGGGGGAGGACTACACTACGTCAGTCTGCCATCGTCAAACATCGCCGGAATATTCAGTCAAAGAATTAGAATCACACAAGTTTTTTTTTCCTATTAATCTCTTTCGTCTCTGCACTACCGGCTTGGGACCCGACCGAAGCTGTATGCGCAAGGGGGCCAATGGTGATGCATGGTGCCTGGCGATCCTCGATTTTATGGCAAGAACGCGTCGTCTTGTGGAACGGATCGAGGGAACCAGTCGACATAATTCTTTGACCACTACAACCACATGTTTTCATACCCACCGCCTATCAAGCGATAGACTTCAATCAACGGCCTTCAGAGGGTGACAACAGTCACTCTGCGTCAAAGAGGACCAGGACGCCAAGACATCGCATGAGATTCAGAACTGTCCAGGTAGTGTCGAAACAACAACCTCACTACACATTCAATTATATATGCACTCACTTGGGTGGTTTCTTCTAACTCTTGAACTTTCCATTCCTCTCTCTCTCTCTCTCTCTCGCAGTGTCCTTGTCCATCATGATGCTCTCCCGTCTAAGTGATCCCTTCAGCTCCAGCTCCAACGCGCCGAAATTTCCTAGACCTCACGCAAGCGGGCAACTCTAGCGCGCGCCAACAGGGTCGAAAGCAGCCGCTCATTTCAAGCAAGCGCGGAGCCACTTGAGGTTGGCGGTGGCGCTAGATTGGAGATAGGTTAGGGGAGTGCCGTATATTTGATTGAACAAGAGGGGGAGGAAAGATGGGGGGATTGGGAAGAGGGGAAAAGGCGGAGAGAGAGAAGGGTATGGGAGGTAGGGAGAGCGTGCAAGAGTTACACGAGAGTGGTAGTAAGGATGACGATGAGGAGGAGAAGGAAAGGCAGAAAGGGAATGATACTGATGGAGAGAGTGATCATGACCGAAGGAGGAGGAGGAGGAGGAGGAGGAGGGGACGGGTAGGAGGTCTAGAGATGAGAAGGTGTAGGGGTTATGATGGGCGGGAGGCTATTGTTCTTGGGTGTTCATGGTGTTGTTGCTGAGGTTTCTTTGCGCCGAATGCCTGCCCCCCCCCTTTTTCCATTTCATTCTCGAGTGATATTGTTTCTTATTTCTCTAATAGGCAACCAGCCGTTTTCCCTTGTCGACATCTTCCAAGATTTCATGATTTATGAGGGCAAGGCGGAGGGATGAATGACTTTTACGGTAATGAGATAAATGAGACAGGAAGATAAAGAGGATGAAGGGACGTGCCGGCTGCTTTGAGAGAGCTCAGGAACTTACGGTCTTTGCGATTGGTGGGTTGAGTTGATGATGGGACACCATGACGGATTCTGTCACCAAATAATACAATGTTTGATGCCGGGGACGTTCAGCTGGATAGATAAATGCACTGATCATGATTCAGGAGTTCAAAAAGGCTGTCAGCTGTTTTTAACACTGGCATGCGCTCTGAATCAACAAGAAGACCACACTGTATTCTGAAAAGCTTCGTTGCGTTTTGGGCTACTGTAGTCCGGGCATGTTGCCAGTCTATTTCACCGACCTTGTTCAACCTGGAGTTAGCCCGTCATCCATGTAACAAAAGCCAACTATAACCACCTGGCCACCCTGGCCCGATATGCTTAAAAGGCGGAAGAAATCTCTCGATCGTGACAAATTTTGCCGCTTGTTCCCCATTAGTATGGACTCCCACAGCAAGAAGAGACAGGAACCAGATCAAGTGATAGTAGTATCAAGGAGTCCTTTCCCATTTTTATGATGCACTTCCTTGTGCAGACCGCATTAGGATCCATAACATCGCTGCTTCCTCCCTCGTTCCTCTAACCCCTTCCTCCCTCTCCTCCGCCTCTTCGTCCGTCTAGAAGACCCATTAACGTTTACGCAGCCTTCTTCGCGAACTCAACCCTAAGGATCAAATGCCTGAAACCGAAACCGTCCATCTTGGCGCAAGCCTTGACAGCGTCGCTGCGATCCGCGAAACTGATGAAGGCGAAGCCCTTGGCAAGACCCGTATCGCGATCCTTGGCAAGGAAGACACGAGTGACGCGACCGAACCGTTCGAACATATCGCGAAGCTCTTGTTCCTCGGCCATCTCGGAGACCTAAGGGTAGAAAACATGTTAGCACGAATCAGTCCCGTCATAATAACCCCTCTTTAGGAGCAGAACAGAACAGCTTTTGCAAGTCTGCCGCCTACTCCCTCTTTCCCTTTTCCTTCTGCTTCTTCTTCTTCCTCTTCTTCTTCTCCTCCTCCTCTTCCTCCTCCTCCTCGTCCTCCTTGGGGAAACCAGGGGCAAACGTACGTTGGTAACTCTGAGAGTGGCGAGATCGTCGCGCTCGCCGTACTTGCCGCCCATCCTCTCTCCAGCAGCCGCGGCCCCACCGGCACCACGCAGCGCAGGTGGCACGTACGAGCCCTTCTTGCCCGCGCCCGCCGCACCCTGGGAAGCGGCAGCAGCCTCGTCAGCAGCACTGGCGGCGACGTCGGCGGCAGCGCCGGCCTCGCCGATGGGGGCCATGGTGTCCTTGTAGGGACAGCGGGCGGTGAAATGCTCGCCGTTGCAAATACGGCACTTGACCTTCTTGTCCTTCAACTTGTCCTTCATGGCCTGGGCGTTGGGGTCCTTGCTCTCGTCCTTGGCGTCCTGGCGCCAGTTGAAGGAAGGCTTGAAGATGATGTTCTCGCCGACCGAGGTGGTGTCGGGGGCCGGGCCGGCGCCGTCCTTGACGCTGAGGCCGAACTTGGTCCACGACTTGCGCTCAGCGACGCGGGGGTTGACGACCTCACGGTGGGTGATGTAGCGGATGCGTCGTGTGGTCTTGACCTTCTGGCCGTTGTCGTTCAGGCGGTACTCGATGATGGTCGTGCTGCCATCCTTGTTGGTGATCTTCTGAGGGGGCGGGAGTTCGGTGGAGGTCTCCTCGAGCTCGTCATCGTCGGCCCAGTCATGCCTGAATGGTCGCGAACTATGTTAGACTCTTACTCTCCGAGAAATCAAATGCATACGTGTTGGGTTGTGAAGCACGCCGGAAAAATGGCAATCGGGGGCGTGGATGCGGACGGGCGATTGCTGTCGAGGCAAGCGGAGGAGTACTGACTTCTGTTGAACGGCAGCCATCTTGACAGTATGTGGTTGATTTGATTCCGCAGGTTCAGCTCGTCTGGTGATGGGTGCGGTGGATGACAGAAATGGCCGTGGGTTGTCGTCGCGATGGGTTGACGTTGCGCTGGTTTGGCGGCGATTTTTGGTGGGGCTCAAGTTTGAAAAGCCAGGGCAGTTTTCCCCCCCATTTTTTGGAGGTAGGGAATTTTTGGATATTTGAGTGTGGGGCAAAAATTGTCTTGCTGACTCGGCTTTCACTCAGGAAATCAGCCCTGTTTGGCAGCTAAGGGTGCTCAATTCTACGTACAATATCAAGGCAGCAGATTCACACATGACAGCCAATACGGCTCCCTACAGACGAAGCTTCGTTCTTTGACAAAGCAGGACTGGTCGCATCCAGACGTAGACGTTGAGGTGTTTTGCCCCTTCTTTCATTATCCGCTTTGGGTTGCTTCCACTTCGCATCCAATAGTGGGGGCATCATAGGCGTCACAACCCTAACCCGAACGTTGCTCCTCCAGGCCTCCAGGGGCAGGGCGCGGCGCCGCAACATGGAGCTAGCTCAACTCTCTTGACACCAGGACATGTGTGTAGGTACCTTTGTTTGCAAGTTGATGGTTGGCACCGAGTTTGAGAGTTTGAACTCGATTCGGATTTCTCCAAGCATCCATATCTGATCGCACTAAACTCACTACTATCTAAGTTGGCCACGGAGCCTGCCGGGCACCAGCTTTCTTCTGACTCTGTGACCCCCCTCCTCCGATTGAGAATCGAAAACCACCCCGCCCTTCATGCCCACCACACTCACCTCCTCAATTAATTACCTACATACGCAGTAGGTACCCCAACATTACATAATACAAGGTATATGGCAAAAAGACAAATCCCGCACCAAATCGACCTGACAAAGGAGATCGTTCACACGTTACGTTCCGGACGTCGCCGGTGGTATAAATGTACCCTCATCACCTGGGTATCCAGTGTCTTGCTTCCTGCACCCTTATTCCATCCATCTAACCGGTATCTTGCTTTTCGACTGAACCCGACCTTGACAAAAGAGAGACAAAGGAAATGGATGATGACGGAATCAATCAGCGGTTCGATGACGGTTTATCTCTATCAGTTGAATCCCCAGGCGCCCTTTGCTCTGCAAGTATTTGTCGCTGAAAGATACTCGGAAGCTTCAGTGGTCGTGTTGCCTAGACGTCCAGAAATGGCGATGCGTTGAATGATGGTATGGCGCCAGATACGAGTAAATGCAAATCACAGCTCAAGGTGAATATGCTGAGTGACAGACTTGAAGTGACGATTTTCTCGGGATTGGAGGAAGGGCACGATTCGGCGGGGGAGCAGGCGGGGGGCCTTCCGCCAGCTGTGTCTTATTCCGTCGCGAACCCAAGCCGTTGGCAACCGACATCGACCTAAAATGTGGCGCTGGTCTCGAACCCTGCTTCGAAAGTGAAGTTGAAGATATCTGGGGAAGGTCGCCGAGATCGTCACCGAGGTCACTCAGATCAAGGAAACTGCGATCAGGTTCGCTTGACCTTTCTGACAGCTGAGACTGCAAACTGAATCTTCTATCGGCGCGCTTCGATGGGCTACCTGGGTAATCGCCGATGGATGGAGTGGATCTGAGCATGTCTTGGAAAGCCATTGATGACGGAGGAGCACAGCCTGACCTCTTTTCAGGGCTACCATGTGTGACAGGTTGCGTGGGAGAGAGATTCTCCCAGTCCTCGCCGCTATCACAACGTTGCTTGGTTGCGTCCGGCAATCCCCAAGACGAGAAAAGGGACTGCGGTTCCGGTGCTGTTTCATCGGCTACTTCGATTGAAACACCATTCTTCTCAAGCGACGGCGATTCAGGCGACGGTTGATCCACCACAAAAGAGAGCGGGCGTGAGTTGAGGCATAGAGCCGAGGGCGGGGGTCTCCGTGAACCCCCGCGCATCTGACAAGGTAGCGGAGGGGGTGGAGAAGATGGTTCACCTTCCTCTTCCGGGAGGGATTTCGTTGACCTAGCGAGCGAATAACGCTGACTGGATCGTTTGCTAGAGCTCGAAGGGCTGCTGGGATCGAAATTCCACGTACTCAAACTCGAGAGAGGATGAGAGGCGGCGAGACGCATTTCGAGGAGATGATTGGACGTCTGCAGAGACTGTCTTCTGTCACTGATCGCTGCTGCATTCGGTCTTGGTCGCGGTCGGGGTTGGTCATCAAGGGCGGTGAGCTCTGGGATGGAGTCCTGAAGGCTTGCAAAAGAATCGTGAATAGGCGAACATGCTGGTGATGACCCAGCTGACGTCAGGGCTGTACGCTGACCGGACGACAGATATGAAAACCGCTGAGTACTATCTCTAAGCCCGTCGAGCTGTCTGCCATCATGGGAGATTACGCTAGCGGTGGACGCAGCCTCGTCAAAGGACTGACCTCGTTCAGTGAAGTCCATATTGATATCCAGATTGGAGGTGCTTTGGCGTCCATCCCACGCATCACCAGACATGGCCCCGACGTAATCATCAACTACCAAAGTTCTTTGGCTCGTCTGGCTTCGAAGCTCTGACGCCTCATTGTCGAAATGTGTGTTTCCTGTCTCCGAGACCTTCTTCTTTCCTCCGAGGCCTTCGATTTCGCGTCTAAGCGTGGCCAACCAACTCTCCATATCGGCCGCGTTCTCGAATACCATCAAAAGGTTGGAGGCCTGCCTTTTGTCACCTCGAAAAGGCAGTCGGGCAAGCAATGAGCTGGCGTGAGATGCTGGGGCGGCAAAGTCCGAATCGGCTGTGGCGGTTATCTGCAATACCCAGTGACGGCCTGGAATAACATCGCTCACAAAGGCAGCTGAGTCCTTTCCGAGCGGCAAGATCTTCTCCGGCAGACGGTCCAAGGGCCCATCCCCAGTGTACTGGAGCAAGTATCCCGAAATAAGCACGAAAAACTTGGTCGTCCAGTCTAACTTGAGGGCAACCGATCCAGAGGTATTGCGGCGGTGTTTCCTCTTCCCTCTCTCGGACCTGTCCGCTCCTGCTGTCGACGGAGCTGCCCCATCTGCGGCTGTTGTTGAGCTTGATCCGAAAGCGTCGCTAATCGAGAAGATGCCCTTGTGTTGATGCAGCCTGAGTATAGCCTCAGCTGAAGCGGTACAGGCAGGAAGACGGGCTTGCTTGATGGCCTGGGGATAAACTTGGCAAAGGGTTGGTGGATCCCAAGCAGCCAGGGATCCCCTTGATGCTCTAGGCGATGCGTGCCCACGCACTGCACTTGCTGATTTCTTGTGTTTCAAAGTTTGGGCCGGGAAGGTAGATGCGAGAGGAGACCCGGCCGCGGACCCGGGTAACGTCACGTCGGACCGCTGGGCTTGGCCATTATCGTGATGCAGTCCATAGGGCCAGTGGCTGACACTAGCAATGGAGGCGCGCAGACCTCCGGACCTCGTTGGCGTATCTCTGGGAGCGACAGTCGACATTCGTTCGGCTTCGGTAGCTGATCTGTTTCTGTGAAACAAGTTCCTCAACGCAAGCTTCGAGTCCCTCTTATTTAACCTGCCAGCCTCCTGTCGCGAGGGTGCCCCTTCGACTTCCTCCCCTTGGTCATGATGATGATAATGATGTGGCTCAGACATGGCTTCGGAGGGAGCCAACCCTGGCGGTGTCAAGTCCTGGATATGTGGTTCGGTATGCGGTGTCGATCAGGGCGGAAAAGTTCCTGGTTTTGGTACTCACCGCCACACAAGAGACGGTACTCTGGCGCTGCGGTGATGTGATGATGGTAGTTGGAAATGAAGAGAATGCGGGTTGCATGTACCCATGCAGGGCGATGGGAGTCGATGGTTGTTGAATTCTTTTCTCTGTTGCTTGGAGAAAAAAAAAAAAAAAAAACGAGTGCAAATTGCTGTGCGGTTGGGTGTGTAAATGGGAGAACCAAAAGGTCGGGTCGGAGAACGAATGACGGGGGACTGGGATCGGTCAGATTCAAAGAGGGTATGCAGCCGTGGTAGTAATAACAAACATGGAGATGTGCTGGATACGACAATGAGAACCTGGACGGGCAGTGGAAATCCGGGGCGTCAAATCCAGGCGCGAGAAGATTTCCCAATCCTAATAGCGGAAAGCCAAGACTAGAAATTAAGTGGGAAAAGTTTTGGTTTGTAAGTGTAGTTCGATGGGTGTCTATGGGCCGAAATGGGGCGGGACTTTTGTGTGAGGATGGATCGTCTTCCAGGGAGGAGCGATAGCCTCATGGAACAAAAGCAAAAGAAAAAGGAAAAAAAAAAAAAAAAAAAAAAAAAAGAGCAAGTACGCTCGGTACGGTACCAGTTAGCAGGCAAAGAGAACTGGGGACAGGCGTGTTCCCCGGCAATCATGCCCTTTGCAGCATTAGGGACTGTAGAAGCGAGAGTCAAGACTGGACAGGACGGACAAATTGACGGAAATTGTATTTGACAGGACTGGCTCAAACAGCCAAATTATACGTCAGGGAGATCGGAACGACCAGCTCGGCGTGTGAGGGCCTGAGGTGAATCCCAGTTCGGAACGTGGGCGCGTGAGATCAACGAGGATTCGCGCCTCAGACGGCCGTTCAGTATATTAATTGAAAGATTCCTCCTGGGACCACAGGGAAAACCACAGGGACCGACTGGTAGTGCTGCTATTCCAGGGCGTTTCGGGTATAAGCTAATTACCTCCAAGTACCTTAGGTTACCCTTTTTACACATGCAGACAGTCCAATGGCTTTTCCGCCTGGGATGTTGGATGGGTTCCAAATTCCACACTAATGGCCTGGGGGTCCATTCCCGCCATGTGCAACAATGCGAACGACACAGAACGACTCGACATTTCACTTCCGTCCCAGACATGCAGCCCGGGGATTGGCGCATTTGGTAGGCTGAAATGCGGGCCAGGGGTCCCGTCGTGATCGTGACCTCCATCTCGGGAGTTCTGCCCAGCCAACAGCTACCCTGGCCGGTCGAGTTCCTCAGACACACAGTGCTCTAGAGACAGACAATGAACGGTAGGTAGGCGCTCTCTTGTCTCTGTCTCTGTCTCTGTTTCTGTGTCTGTACAGCTCTGTCTTGTGAGCTGCTGTCCTCCCATTCTGGCTTGGGGCATTGGAAGCGTAGTTGTGTGTCTAATTTCAGCGCGCTAACAGGACGGGCCGTTGGGCGTTGAGATGACAGGATTGACAGGGCGCAAAGTGGAAGGACCGTTCGCAACTCATCCCGACCTACCTCAAGGACCATACATAGAGGTCAGTACGTACCTACATAACTTTGCGCACCCTTTGCCCCGGAACCAAAACATGATAGGTATAATATTGCATACTACGTACCTACACAACGTCAGGCAGCGTGAAGAATTTTCACAGCTGACATATTCTCATACTGCAGGCCAATCAAAGCCTCGGCTTGCAGAAGAGAAGCAACGAGGGAGTCGTAAACCATGACCACACGGTTCCATTGCCAAAACGTCTTCGGTTTTGGGAAATGGAAAGAGGAATAGCATTGTTCAAAGTGGAGCTGAAACCACTGATGGACAAGGGTAGGAGCGAGGAAGCCCCTGACACCCAGCGAGTGCAAGTGCGTGCAAAGGTGGCATTCAAGTGGATTCACGTTTTTTTGACAGCGTAAATCCACGGCACCCAATATGGATGTTACCGGCGTGCGCGCCTGCGATTATTCTGCCAGTTCTAGTGTACAAGTACATAGTACCTCTACATAACTTGCTGTTTCGCGCGGGGCCAGCTGAGGTCTCGCCCTACGGATCATCATGATATCGATCATCGTCCTCCAAGTTGCAAGTTGGACACCTGAAGTGAATCGAACCCATTCTGAATACCTTCTGGGCATGCTCAAAACACCACGTTGGGCATCAGATCTGGCCCCCTGGTGATGAAGATCTACTGCTCTGTACACGTACACTATACCCCACCCACTTGACATGTTTGATGTGTCAGTCGGTCGAAGAAGCAAAAAACGGCAGCTCGGCAACCGCCGAGTAACAGCCCCAGCCTGTTTTCTGGGCACGTCGTTCACCAGATTAAATTTCATTTCCTGCCCTCCCGCTGCCCCCATGTCCACCTCACGTTCTCATCTGCTCTCAACGTGTCCCCCCACTCTCCCATCTTCACCACCGTCATCGCACAAAGAAAACATGCTGCGTCTGATGGAAACACGAGTTTCGGGTAACCACGTCTTAGTGAGGTTAGGGCTTGCGACGGCACCTTTTCCATCTCTAAAAGTCTTCACCTCCAGCCCTGGCTCGAATAACGAAAACCTCAACGCAACCAATTTCACCACCACTACAGCCGCTCATTACGCAAGCAAACATTAATCTTCACCTTGACACAAGGCAGAATATCGGCTGAGGTGATCAGAAATTGACAATGCTGTTCGCCATGTTTGCAAAAAGCATGGAACAATACGCAAAATAGACACCAACTGAACTATCCGCTACATTGTTCGGATGAACAGCTGCTGCTGAAAGTGAAAAGGGGGCCGTTGGTGATGGCAGTCGCATCCAGACCAACCATCACCAACTCCAAACCACCGGTCCACCAACGCATCATCTTGCCAACACAAGCATCTTCCAAAATTTCCGATTATTGAACGCTGTACCACCAAACTGAGAAAACACAGTCATTCCACGTTTCTTTGGCGCATCATGGTTCGACCACCACCTTCCCCCGAGTTACACAGATGATGCCACGACCCTTCCAACATCTGCTGCACATCAGCTTTTGAGACATTCAAGTTTTCGTGCGCACGCAGTACGTCCGTAAAGGCGATGAAAATAGCAGTTCCCTCCCAAGCCAAGCAGGGGCCCTCTCCTCGTGGCAAGCCGACGGAGGCGTTCAGGGCGGGCAAATCATGTATAACGGCATGGCTTCTCCCCACTTGGTTGAAACTTCTCTGCTGCTTTCCATCGGATGGCTGCAGCTCTGGTCGGGTGGGAGCTTCGCAGGTAGAGAGATCCTTTAGTTGACCGGATGCCACTCTAAACACCCCGCGTAGAGGTAGTTTGTGAGTTTCCAAACTTCCAACACCATCAGTCAAAGAGTTCCATGAATGCTAGAATGTTCAAAATCGCCAACACTGACATTTCATCAATACACCACCAGCACCATCAACGGACAACACTGAGCATTTAATCACGTTAGGGATGCCACCCCTCTTCACATCTCGTAACTCGCTGTTCCTGCATTAGCGCGTTCTTCCCGTTTCCGGGTAACCCTCAGCACCTCCCGTCGATTCGATGACTCCGCTCTGTTCCGTCAAGATGACCTACCAGAATTTCGACTCGCCCAAGCCAGCTGCATGCAATGCAGAGAAGGGAGCATGACGGCCGAAATATATGTATCACCATAAATGAGGGGTTTGTCCTCCGATCCCCCCATCCCCCAGTACCCTATGTCATACACAATCTCTCCCGTCAGACTCCTCGGCGCCTCGAGGTGGGAAAGGCCATATTTGATGATTACCTGTCCCGTGTCATTGGGACGGTACGTTATGTACCTGACCGCCACGCTCGCAAGCCCTGAAGAAAACCATCACACACAATTTCGGAGACGAAGAGAGAGCGAGCGTGATCTGATTCCCACCTTATGACTACCTTACACAAGCACGAGCATTTATCCGCCCTCAGCACCACTTTCCACACATATTTATTTACGCCGTACTACTACAGATCCATACTAGTCAGGTTTGATGACTTTCACCCCCTTCCCAGCTCTAGCTCCAGCTCAGCTTCATCCGTTGGGGTCTCTTGGGCTCGTGGGCCCTTGGAACTTTCCGTCGGTACATATCTCCTAGCGTGGTGCTTGCGGCGATGATCAGCATCAGCTACACGTGTGCCGGCGGGAGTGGGCCACGTTCGGGTCCACAGGGCCACACAGGTAGCCACAGGTCACCACAGCCACGGCACAAGCAACGGGTGCACTTTGGACGAAATAGAGAAACTCACAAAAGGTTTGTTCTTTTGTACTCAACAGCGAAGGAACATGCATGGCCTTTCGCACGCATGAGTGAGGCAGGAAACCGTAGTCTCTGCTGCACTCTTCGACCTAGAACGTTGAAAGTGGAGGTTCCGGTGCAAAGCTCCGAAACCCATCCGATATGGCCTTGGCATTGATCGTCTTCATCGGAGGGATCGGGCGAGCCAAGGGTCCGGGGGATCGGCCGGGTGCATCAGAGTCGGGTGTTCACATCGGTTCACATTAAATTTGATGTCCGGATTGAAATATGTCCGAGAGTGATTCTGTTCGATCAAAGACAAAATGTTCAAAAAATAGGGCTTGGTAAGAACTACGTACGGAACATGCCAGTACGGGAAGGCTCTCCTGTGAGCCGGATATATCGACTGTGTGTGCCTAGATAAACCAGCGGCGTGGGGGCCGCCTGGCCAAGAAAGTGACATGAATTCCCCGGCGGCTCAACCGCCAGGCTATGTTCTTTCTTATGAAGTGAGGCGTCCCCAAAGGTACTCTTCAAGAAGAAGAGGATGACCGCGGCGATACTAAGATAGAGGACTAGAGGGAGCGGAAGACCAAAGCGGAAACAGAGTATTCGAAGCCAAAGTAGGAGACAGCTCTGCGTTTCGAAGGTCAATTCACACAAAGGTAGGCACAGCTAGAGGTATAGTTAGATGTATAGTTGGAGGCATAGCAACGGTAGCTCCAAGATCAATAAACCTCCCCTCATTCCTAATGGAGTGACAACTAAGCACGTTAGATAAAGAGTTATTCTGAGTTCTTGTTGTCATTGTTCGGAATAACCACGTTGAGTAAGGATTCGATGGTAGTTGCCAGCGCGTAAAGTTGATACATACTAAGCTTTAGGGTCTTAGCTTGAGCTTGGCTATCAATCTGTATAGCCCTACACCGCCGGTTGGCTACGGCGGTACTACACAGTCGATTTATCTGGTTCGCTGTTCTGCCTGATTTATGCAAGAAGGAGAACATCCCCGTTGAAAATTGAGTAATCAGGAAGCATGTAGTGTAGTGGACAAGCTCGCTCGCGGGGTATGTTACATACGCAGCCATGCATCCATGAGGTTGAATGTAGCTGAAAACTTCGTGAGATGTTTATGCTGAAGGATTCACGATAATATGATAATTGGGATGTCGAAAAAGTATATGTACTTTGAAAATAAGAGACCTCGGCGAATTGGAAGGAAAGCAAGACACATTGTCAGAAGAGCCCACGTAATCCAAGCGGCGAGATGATACTGTCGTGGATCCAATGAGGAGAGATGGACGCCTGGTTCGTCCTCACTTCCTCACCGTCACATAACACTGTTGAACTCACTTACCCAACTCCCCCAACTCACCCGTACAACAACCCCTCCACCTTCTCCGCAATAGCCAACGAGCTCGTCAACCCCGGACTCTCAATATTCAACAAGTTCACCCACCCCTCATACCCCTCTTCCCTCCTAATCACAAAGTCTACAAATCCCTTCCCCTGCGCCACCGCCCCCGCCTTCCCCAGCTTCGGCCTGATGCCAGCATAATCTGGCTGCAACTGGGTATCATCCAAGTCCGGCAGGTACTTCTTAACTGCTTCGATCGCCTCCGGCAACCTCGCCGAGTTTACAGCCAAATCGTCGGGGGAATCGACCCATTCCACATCCGGGCCGAACTTGATCCTGCCCGCCAGGTCGAGGGTGAGGTGCGTGCCCAGCCCGCCCGCGCCGGGTTCGGGAGCGGGGTAGATGAGGGTTGAGACTTTGGGAGAGGAGGGGGGTAGGAGAAGTAGTTTCCTTTTGCGTAGAACATTTGCTTGTGTTGTGAGGGCGGGACAATCATGTTGTGGATGTCGACGGCGCCGAGGCCGGCGGAGTTGATGATCGTTGAGGTGGTAATGGTGGATGATTCGCCGGTGGTGGTGTCGCGGACTGTGAGTTCCCAGCCCTCCTTTCCGTTGGCATTGGCATCGCCAAGGGGCCGAATGGCCGTGACGGCGCTGGCGAGCGCCACCGTCCCGCCTGCTTCTTCGAAGCGGCCCTGGAGACAGACCATCAGCGAGTGGGAATCCACAATGCCCGTCGTCGGAGACTCCAAGATCCCAGCTTCGGCGCGCACCGCCGGCTCACGACGTTGCGCTTCCTCACGCGACACCCAGCGCACAGGCACGTTGATTTCGTTGACGCAGAAGTCATGGATGCGCTGCAGCGCCTCGCGTTGGGCCTGATTCTGCGCGACGATCCATTTGCCCACGCGCTTGTGGGGGACCGCGTGCTTCTCACAGAGCTCGTACAGCAGATTCTTTCCCCGGATGCAAAGCTCCGTCTTGAGAGTGCCTGCGCCGTAGTAGATACCGGCGTGGATGACTTCGCTATTGCGCGAGGAGGTCTCGGTGCCGACGGCGGAGTGACGCTCCAAGAGGAGGGTGGAAGGGGAGGAAGAGCGCCGGGCTAGTTGCTGCGCGATGGCGAGGCCGACTACGCCGCCGCCTATCACGGCGTGGGTGAAGTCGGCGTGCGAGGCGGAGGTGTGGGAAAAAGGACGGAGCCTGCCATGGTGATGACCAGTCCGTATTATTGGGAGAACCGATGTCGTAACTGCATTCCGTATTGTCGCTGCTGTGAGTCGACCTTTTGGTGTAAGGATGAGTGTCATGGTGAAAGTTTTGCCGATAGCTGTTACTACGTATTGTAGGCTTGTTGCAGCGCGTCACGGGCCCTTTGCGGAGACAAGTTGCGGCCGGTCGTGCGCATGATCCCGTCCTCCGAAGTCGGGTTGCCGCGGCGCCATCGGAGGTCGGGTCTGTCCGGGCAAGTTCAACAGTGTGGGGAATCCGGGATGCGGCGTTACGGCCTTTCCCGCATCTACACCCGTCCACCCATGCCGCTCAATGCAGTTTTGTCATCTGGCATATTCCAGTATCAGACCATGACCTCACTTGGCATGGCTGCAACTTCACATCAAGTCAGAATCCTCGACTTTACATGCTAAAAGTTTTGTTATGTTTTTCTATCAGCTTCCAACGTCAGCTTGCTTCCGCATTTTCTCGCCAACGTCGATGCTTTGACCGATCTAACGCTGGTTTGTTTGTTAGTCTGGTACCTCAAACAGCTGTATTTGGAACCGCCTGGACAAGGTGACCAATTAACAAAATTTCCAGGGGTGCACTGTGGAAAAGAAGAATTTCGGGGTTCCGACGTTGCTCAAGCATTGTTCAGGTGGAAAGAGAACCCAACCAAGTTCCACCTCGGTGACGATTGTGGTTGCCTGTTATGGATACATGGCTCGACCGTCGGTTTCTCTCCAAGCACATGATCTCGATACCAGTCATGTCATCTCGTGATACCCTGTTGCCCTTGTCTCAAACAGCCAGCGCATGCTGGGACCCTGATGGGATATCCCGTTCGCCCTTCTGTTTCAGTGTCTGGTTAGAAAATCTTTGTATGTTAGGGTATGCTGGACATGTTTTCAACATAGGAATTCGAACCGGTTCCGCGGAGACCAGTTTAGTTATATCAAGTACCTAAGTATCGAGCGACCTTGAACCGACGTCACTCTACAAATGGCCGAGCATAACCGCCTTTTGTTAAGGGTTGATGCTGGGTAGAACTGCGGGTTTCGCCAAGTAGCGCGGCTGTATTAGACGCCTCCGATGTCTCGAGAAGGCCACGAACTTGACCTTGACCTCAGCAAAGAGTCCGGTCCATTGCTTCATTTTGCATGAATCCCAACAAATTCGACTCCCAGATCCTGAATGGGGATCCTGACCTGAGAGGGGTCCTGTGGCCTGTGTAACAAAAGTTACAGGTGGTCACAACTGCTATCCCGCGCCCAGCCGCGATGCATGCTGGGATGGCATGGAAGACGAGCAGCTCCTTGCAGCGAACCTTCGACAACGCCAAGCATGTATTGCATCGAAACCGCTGGAGCATAGGTCGTACGTACATAGTACAGTACCTTCCACACATGAACGGCTTTGAGATTGTTCCATCATGGGCCGTTCTGAACTTTTTTTTTAAAAAGGAACCTTCAGTTGAGTGCAATTGAGATTCTAGCCCATCTTCTTATCACATCCACCAAAGGTAACCATTGTCCTTTATCCTCCACTTCAACATTTCGCAACGTCTCGTATTACCTAGAGATCTCCCCATTGGTTCTCGATCTTCCGTCTCGTCTGTGTCTCGTGTTTGTGACGTGCAACAACTGGCCACCTCTTGTTGCGGTCGCCATCTGCCACCTCCACGGTCGAGACCTGCTCTTGAACTCCGTTAACGGCATCTTACAACTTATTCACCGGCCAATCTGTTTGATCCGAACACCGCATCGATTGCTCAGAGAGTGCCCTTACGCTTGCACCTGGCCGCCTCCGTTTGCCGACGCGACCCGGTCGTACCTATATACGACATTTAATAGCTTAGCCTAGCTATTTACCAGTCGAGCTCCGGAGCGAATATGGGCTTGAATCCAGACGCTTCTCTTTCTCCCTCTTCATCAACACCAAACCTCGAGATACCTAAAAGTATCGGCATGTCGTCGTCCATTCGCACCCATTCCTCTCTGGGCCAGACCAGAGAGACATCCCCCTCGCCGTCCCCAAGGTCGGGCTCTGTTTCCCTCCAGGCCGCAGCTACTCTCAACGCTGGTCTTCAGCGCAAGGATTCACTACGAAGTTCGTCACTCCACGCCCAACTATTGACCTCAAAATCACCCTGCTGACACTTGCTACCTATCTAGGCTCTTCCATCAGCCCTCTCCCTGCATCCCAGGCCCCCAAGGTTCCCAGCGCCGGTCGTCGCCAATCACAAGTCCTCATGAACCTCCAGATGAACGACCCATCGATACCCGCTCCTGGGGAAATGATCTCGGACAGCTCCAAGCCTTCATCCGTCAGTTCCCCCCAGCCTATCCCCGGCCGCCCGCAACAGCACAGCCGGGCTCCTAGCCTCGGAGAGCTTCACCAGGAGCTAGAGAACGAGCAGGAGTACCAGGTGAACCGCCTGCTCAGCGAAATTCGAAGGCTACAGTCACAGCTTCAGCGCCAGCAGTCCTCATCCGGAGCCATCAGCGATGACAACTCCGGGCGGGACACACCCAATCGCAGCTCAACACCACAGATGGGGGGAATTTCCGGAACATCCATCCCCAAATCACCGGGCTTCCTTCCCCACCCCCGCGGCTCCTTCGACTTCCCCCGCAGCAGCAACGACCTCAATAAGGCTCGGTCCAGAACGCCGAGCAGAGGCGCTTCGCCTAGGGTGCGCGCCACGTCCATTAGTGCAGACAGTATGGACCAGTGGCCCCTTGGCGGAAAGGATGAGAGTGCCTTTTATCAGGCAGAGACGCAGATGCTTATCAGGGAAAACCAAATGTTGAGGCATCGCATTCGTGAATTGGGTATGTTCTGCGCTAGCACCGCTATTACAACTTTGTGATTGGAAGGATCATTCTTGCTAATTCCCCGTGCAGAACGTCAACTAGTCGAGTCATCAGGGAAAGACGTTGCCAACACTCACGAACCTACTCACGCGTCAGGTCTTCATCGGTCGACGTCTATTTCAGACGTAGAACGTCCCAAGATGACTGCCCCTGCCCAGCAGCACCAGGAGGAAGCCATTGTTGAGTGATGGAACACAAGAACTCAGAGTGAGCTCTGGCTTGCTCGAGTGAGATATAAAGTTCCACATTCACGGGTATGCTTCAAAGGAAGGAACGATACTTTTATGATAACGGCGTTTCCGAGATTATGTCGGGCCTCGGGTTTCAAGCTGGCACCACGGACAGTCGTAAGGTATTTCTGAACCCTGTTTATCAGGGCCCCGTCTCCTACTCCAGAAAAGTAACCTACGGAGTACCCGCGACAGATAGGGAGACAAGCCAGTTTGTTGTTTTCGGGGACAGGACAGGACAGGACAGGTTGGTGGCTTACAGGCGTTATTGGCGGATAATACCTCCCTCTATTGCAGTTCGGGATTTATTGGTGGAAAGCTGAAGTAAATGAAATGGAATGCAAAGATTGAAGTAGGAACGGGAGATACATACATAGCATTTTTATATGTTGGGACATCGCAAACCCGTAATGTTATTCGTATTATCACTATTGTTTTGCTACACGTGCACTTGAAGTTATGGGTAATCATCGAAGCTGGGGCCAGTTCATATCACCTTGTCGATGAAAATTTTGGGCATTTGAACTCGATAGCTGTCGGTGTTCAAGAATGCGCTTGTTCTCTACGGTTTTCTTGTAACACTTGGAATAACTCAACTTAGTACTCAACCAACTCGACTTGGCTCAATCCAACTTATCTCAATTCGAGACCCCCAAGGCGAGGTGCAACTTGATTCGGGAGACTTGGTGAATTGGGCGCCTTTTTGAGTATAGAAGATGTTACGTAAGGCTCTTTGTACGAAAACCACATTAGAACAAATACAGTCTAAGGGGACTTTGAATAACATCAAGTTCAACAAATTGATAGATGATAATAGGAACTGAACTGGCTCGTTAGGGAAGTTGGTCACGTTCATGTCACAATAAGTATAGATGAAGTTTGACTGTGACTGTAAGCATTCAATTACTTGTTTAGGAGTTAAGAACTATTTTAGATAACACCATACATATCAATCTCTCCCCAACTCGGTAACCTTTTGTTGAACTGCTGCTTCCAGGTTATCTGTTGCCCAAACAATTTTGTAGCCGCCCTCCATCAACCAAGCCCAGCCTCAAACATCCTCATTATTACCTTTTCAAGGTTTCTTTGTACGTGTGCGCCGTCTTGATAGTCCATCATCATTTTAGCCAAGAGCAAATTGAAGAGACCCTCTTCCACTGCGCCCACGGTCCCACGTCCCATGTTCGTTCGTTATTATTGAAAGGTAGTATGTCCATATTCACCCTCAAGGGGGGGTCAAGGTGAAATAAGTTGTGCCGAAAACGCCTTATTCCCTTCCCATCAAGTTCACCAAGCAAGCCGCAAACAACGCCCGAAAGAAGAAGAAGGGGAAAAACAAACAAAAGTCAGGACCATCCCAGAGCGTCAAACCTAGCGGTAGTCCGTACTAGGAAATAAACTCCTCTGCAGAAGATTCACATGGAACTCGTAAATCCCATCTTCGGCGCCGACGAACCTGTTTAAAAAAAACCAAATTACATATTAGCAATCGACAAGTGACAACCACAAAAAGGGGATAAAACTTACAAAACCCTCCCGTCCTCACTCCAACACAACCCCGCCGTATCATGCGGATCGGGCTCCCGTCTACTCATATATAGCGCGCCAAACGCCCGTCTAGTCGGATGATCATCCCACTCGCGCAGCGAGGCATGGGCGCCCCGCAATCTGCGGGTGGAGTCGAGATCGGGCAGTGTCCTGCTGAAGCTGTCAAAGGGGAGCGTGTCTTCGAGGTGAAGGGTGTAGTAGAGCTGTTGCAGAGTGGCTGCAGCATTGACACTAGTGTTTGATGTGGTATTTCCGCTGGTGGGAGACAATAAGCTTGGGTTCGCTATGATGCGCGAGGAGAGGTTGAGAGCTCGCCTCTCTGCTGCTGCTTCTGAAGCAGTCTGGGCTGGGTTACTGCTGGTACCGCTACCGCTGCCAGCGGGTCGGGTAGGTGGGTGCGTCGTTCGGTCTCCTCCTCTGTCTAACCTAGTAATGGCGGTGATGACGCGAAGATGGTCCGCGGCGGTAGCTTCGTCCGTTGCTTCCCGTAATGCGGCTATGCTTGCTCGCAAGTTTCGTCCATCACGACCGCTGCTACCACTACCAGCTGCACCTCCGCCGGTGCTGGCGGAAGCTCGTAGCGATGTAGCTGCGCGAGGCGGGATCCCGGTGAGTAAGTCTGCGTACTCGCGGTAGGTAGATAAGTCCCTGGTATCGCGAGCGGTTCTCAATCCACTGCCGCGCTCGCGGGATTGCTCGCTACTCCCAGGCGACCGCTGTGTGTCTCCTCCTGCTCCTGCTCCACCTAAGCGGGATGACGGATCATCACGCCAGATCGAAGTATTAGTTCTTCTTTCGGTCGTGGTTGGTCCTCCGCCCGAGGTAGCGGCTTCTCGTTGTCTTCGTTCCGCCCGAATCGCGTCAAGGACCTCCAGTTCACGAGGAGTAAACGAAGATGACTCTAGCGGATCCCAATGCTCTCTATTTGAGCGTTCCCGTCGAGCTTCCAGGGCTGCAAGAAGATCGATACCCCGCAAACGAGATGGTGGTGAGGCGGATGCTGATGCCTCATTGTCATCGGTGCGGGCGGCTGCGAGGAGAAGGAGGCCAGGGTCGATAGCGCTCCTATCGGATATGGTGATGTGGTCGTAATCGTCTCGTTTGTCTAGGTCCAGGATTTGGCGCGATAGAAAACCGGTTCGGAGGTCGGCAACACCGACATGGCCGCGATCTTCAGTCCATGCTAGGAGGTCCGTGGACCCGGGAGCAAAAGCCATGTCACGGATGGCGCCTAGCTCAGCATTTGGCCTTGACGAGCCGAAGGTTGCCACGAGGGGATCTAATCCAGGGATGGAGAAGGCCGCAACATCGAAAACAGAGATAATTCCATACTGAGTTCCGACAGCAAGATAACTCCCCGTAGTGGAAAAGCATGCCGCAAAACTCCCCCTATTGCGGTGTTAGAAGAATGCGCAAACAAGAGAAAATGCGTAGAGAAGACGATGCACATACCTGTTTTCCGACCGATCATCTTTGCTTTGACTTTTCAAAGGAACTTTACGCAGCGGAACCCATCGATGTGTTCGATGGGACAAACGGTACGTATTCATCCACGGCTCATCCTTCTCAACCCTCTCGTGCACGTAGAGATAGGGATCGTCACTGATGGCGATAAGGAGCCGGCCGTCGGGCGAGATGACAGCACGGTTGACACAGTCCGGGTATGTGATCTCGTCCAAGGCCTCCTCTTCCCATAAGCTTACACACGAAACGGAATTGTCGTTGTTTGAAAGAACGGCAACTGGTTCGTTGTATGCGCCTGCCGCGGCTGGTACCAAAGTCGGTGGAAACCACAAAGTGATGCAGTTCACCCGCTGTTTGCCAAACTTTTTGCTTGTGACCGATAGGTTCTTGTTGTCGTTGTTGGTATTGCCTCGCGCAGCAGTTATGATTTGGGCCCGGGCCAACGCTCGCGCGACCTCTACCGAGTCTTCGTCGTCCAAGTCACGGCTGAGTTCGTCCAGTAACTCCTGACCAGGGACCTGATCGTCCGAATCCGTATTGAGCTGCGCATTGGCATCGTTCTGAGGGGTCCTTTCGCGGACATGTATCGCCGTGAACTCGCCGGTCTCGCCGCCACAGCAGATCCACCCATGCCGCGCGACAAGACACCTAGGCTGAAAAGGAAGGCGCTTGATGGTTTCGATCTCTTGGGTTGTGATGTTGAGTCTCTGGACCTCGGTGCTGTCCCTTCCTCCGGGAAAATAAATCACGTTGTTGTCCTCGACGCCTACCATAGAACGCAACTGCCAGTGACTGCAAAACAAATTAGGGGTTAGCGACCAAATGCCACGTAGGTGTGTCGCAATGGGTATGATCCAAGGACGTACCTAGGATGGACACTGGTGCCATAGCGGCGTCGAGGCTTGGGGAGGATCAAGTGGTCGGTTGCATGATAACTAGACGCAAGATTTCTGTCAGCATTGAAGGAATGTGATTTCAATTTTCGGGGTGGTAGTTGGGGTGGAGGGGGGGCACCGGGTGCAACTCGCGGAATAGACTTGGGACTCGGGCATCAGCTTACACGTCGTCCTTGACCGTCATTGTGGGAAAGTCTTGGCGGGTTTATTTTGACCGGGCAGTTCCAAATCAGTTTGCGATGACCATGCACAATTCCGCGCTGTTGATGGCTAGGTATCGTCGAGGGAAGTCGATGCCGTCAAAGAAGGAGGAACCAACTAGAAGAAGGATCGCGTGGAACGTCGAATGCTGAATGTCGTCGGATTGCGAAATGCCGGGCTATCTTGGTTGGGATTGGGGACAAAGGTTGATGCGGGTGAATTGAATTACAATGTAGGATAGTTGAAAGCTGGTGAGTTTTAGAATAAGAAAGTTCAATGAAAGTGATGTTAGTTGTCGAGGAAACAATAGGAGAGGCCCGTCCGACCAGTTCGTCATTGCTTTCTGAGTGTTGTCGCAAACCCGCGTTAAACGTCAAGTCCCTTTTCCCATTACATTAAGTCGTAATATCCTAAGCTCGCCACCCACTTGGACGCACCACTTTGACCCACGGAATGACAACACAATGCAGTGCTTGCGAAGTCGTTCTGCCGCGCAGCTAAAGAAAGTCCCAAATTAAAATTTCCTGGGAAAAGATCTTGGAATGTTGACAACAATAAGAGGTTATTTCAGGTACACAGTTAACCTACCTCCAAGCTTGAGACTGTCAAAGGTACCTCAACCTTCCAAAACCGGGGTCCTCCACTCCACTTCACAAGGCAGGTACCTCCGTCGTGGCACATCATCAGACACATACGAGTCTGAGGTTTGGCTGATCGATACATGTACTTACCTCTAGTTACGCGCAACAACGGAGGTGATTTGGCGCACAGTCAGTTGTAGTCTAGTCTCCGTAACAGATAGACAAGATCAATGACATGGCATCGCATCTCCAACACTCGTGGGTGTTTCTGGAGCAAAGCATGGAGATATATACCTATAGTGTATAGTAGCGCGCAATACCCGGCGTGACCGTAGTAACAGGCCGCTTTAAGCAGCGCATCCACTCTCCCCCGATGCCGTCACAGGCCATCCATAGGTAGCTTGTTACGCACGCATACCCGCCCGAGCCCGCCTCTCCCCTCCTCCTCCCTTCACCCATTCGGGCCATTCTCATTATCAAACCTCGGCCGGCCAGCATCCAGGCTGAGCCGGACCGACCCCAGGCTGCCCGAGCAGGGATCAGTTGCTCTCTGGAAAACAAGAGAAAGGGGTCCATGGACGGCAAAGTGGAGTCACGTGCTGTCGCAAAATCCAAGATGGGAATGGGCTTTCCGGATGTTTTGGATCTCGCCTTGAAGACGGCGAGGTTGACGGCAGCTCGGAGTTCTCGGTGGACGGAGGAAACGGGTCGAAGGAGGAAGACTTCAATCCGCCCCCAGGGCAGGCTCCCCGCCTTCGCCCGCCATTGCGACAATTGACGGAGTGGCCCGTGCGGAGCTTGCTCGGCGCCCCACTTATCGTGCATGCGGCTGCTCTCAGTGGGTGGGCAGTGGCCCCCCCGCGGTGCCAACTGGAGCTGAGGTCCCGCTGGAGTCGCTGTCGATCCAGTCACTGGGCCGTGTGAGTGCTGAGAGCAGAGCCGAGCAAAATTTCCAACGCCTTCGATGACCAGGTTGTTGAATTTTTTCCCTCGCAGTACAAAAGAGCTTGACCACCAGCTCCCCCTCGGCCTCCGCTCTCCGTTCACGCATCCTCATTCATAACCACCCTCTCCTCTTCCACCATCACCTCTTTCCCGTCTGCGTTGTGGTGATTCCCGGCCCTGTCTGTTTTCCAAAGGGGTTATTTTTGTTTTTAATTTAGAGTCACAAACACACACAAGATGATGTCCACAAGGCTTACCAGGGCTGTAAGTTATAAACCGAGCTTGCACTTGCACTTGCACCTGCACTTTGCAGCATCCGCTGCTTCCACTTTTCCCTCACTTCAAGATCGCGATAATGGCGCGTTTCATATTCGTGAATACTTTCCAACAATGACAATGGCTGACATGTTCCCCTCTTGATTACAGCTGCCCAAGGCCTCCATTGCTACCCGCGCCGCGGGTATGCTCAGGAAGCCCATGACCCCCGCCTTCGCGCGCTTCGAGTCAACGGAGACGAACGGAAAGGTCACTGGTTCCGTCATCGGTATCGATCTTGGTATGTAGCATCACTACCACCAACAGACGAGCTCCGACATGGCTAACTCAAGTCTCCTCTCCTCCAGGTACCACCAACTCCGCCGTTGCCATCATGGAGGGCAAGGTCCCCCGCATCATTGAGAACGCCGAGGGTGCCCGTACCACCCCCTCCGTCGTCGCCTTCACTGAGGACGGTGAGCGCCTTGTTGGTGTTGCCGCTAAGCGTCAGGCTGTCGTCAACCCCGAGAACACCCTCTTTGCCACCAAGCGTCTCATCGGCCGCAAGTTCACCGACCCCGAGGTCCAGCGCGACATCAAGGAGGTTCCCTACAAGATCGTCCAGCACACCAACGGTGATGCCTGGGTTGAGGCCCGTGGCCAGAGGTACTCTCCTTCCCAGATTGGTGGTTTCATCCTCCAGAAGATGAAGGAGACTGCCGAGTCTTTCCTCAGCAAGCCCGTCAAGAACGCTGTCGTTACCGTCCCTGCCTACTTCAACGACTCTCAGCGTCAGGCCACCAAGGATGCCGGTCAGATTGCCGGCCTTAACGTCCTCCGTGTCGTCAACGAGCCTACTGCTGCCGCTCTTGCCTACGGTCTTGAGAAGGAGCAGGACCGCATTGTCGCCGTCTACGATCTTGGTGGTGGTACCTTCGATATCTCCGTCCTTGAGATCCAGAACGGTGTCTTCGAGGTCAAGTCCACCAACGGTGACACCCATCTCGGTGGTGAGGATTTCGATATCCACCTCGTCCGCCACCTCGTCCAGCAGTTCAAGAAGGAGACCGGTATCGATCTCTCTGGCGACCGCATGGCCATCCAGCGTATCCGTGAGGCCGCCGAGAAGGCCAAGATCGAGCTTTCTTCTTCCCTCCAGACCGACATCAACCTTCCCTTCATCACTGCCGACTCTTCTGGCCCCAAGCACATCAACCAGAAGCTCACCCGTGCTCAGCTCGAGGCCATGGTTGACCCCCTCATCCAGCGCACCATTGAGCCCGTCCGTAAGGCCCTGAAGGATGCCAACCTCCAGGCTAAGGAGATCCAGGAGGTCATCCTCGTTGGTGGTATGACCCGTATGCCCAAGGTTGCCGAGTCCGTCAAGAGCATCTTCGGCCGTGACCCCGCCAAGTCCGTCAACCCTGATGAGGCTGTCGCCATCGGTGCTGCCATCCAGGGTGCCGTCCTCTCCGGTGAGGTCAAGGACCTTCTCCTCCTCGATGTCACTCCCCTCTCCCTCGGTATCGAGACCCTCGGCGGCGTCTTCACTCGTCTGATCAACCGTAACACCACCATCCCCACCAAGAAGTCCCAGGTCTTCTCCACCGCTGCCGACTTCCAGACCGCCGTCGAGATTAAGGTCTTCCAAGGTGAGCGTGAGCTCGTTAAGGACAACAAGATGCTCGGCAACTTCCAGCTTGTCGGTATCCCCCCTGCCCACCGTGGTGTTCCCCAGATCGAGGTCACCTTCGACATTGACGCCGATTCCATCGTCCACGTCCACGCCAAGGACAAGTCCACCAACAAGGACCAGTCCATCACCATCGCCTCCGGCTCCGGTCTTTCTGAGGCCGAGATTGAGAAGATGGTTGAGGACTCCGAGAAGTATGCCGAGCAGGACAAGGAGCGCAAGGCTGCCATTGAGGCCGCCAACAAGGCTGATGGCGTTCTCAACGATACCGAGAAGGCCCTCAACGAGTACGCTGACCGTCTCGACAAGACCGAGGCTGATGCCATCCGTGAGAAGATCGCCAGCCTCCGCGAGTTCATCGCCAAGAGCCAGTCTGGCGAGCAGGCCATCTCTGCCGATGCCCTCAAGGAGAAGATTGACGACCTCCAGGTTGCCAGCTTGAACCTCTTCGACAAGATGCACAAGGCCCGTGCTGAGGCTGGCGAGCAGCAGCAGCAGAGCACTGAGGGCGAGAAGAAGGAGTAAATCTGAAGCCCAACAGCTTTTAGGTTTTCCTTTTCACGTTTTCTCACTATACCCACATACTTCTTTCTCCCCGGTGTCTAAGTAGCTTGGTTGGAGCGGAATGATCTCCACTGTGTATTTCTCCCTTGTACTCATATGTCATGTTTCTCTTTGAGGTCTATCATGCTGGATCTTGTGTTTAATACCGCAGAGGGCGGCGGATGGCGTTATTGAGCATCAAAACTTCCTGCGTTTTTGGGGGTTACAATAAAAAATCTTCATCTATCTTCACGACATCTTTCCATTCTACAAAAATGATGCGATGAGATGCGAAATAGGTTAACCGGTTTTTCGCATGGGCAACGGGAAGGACAAACAGGAGGTGCTGGAAAAGGGAGGCTGCCTGGGGTGCGCGTATGTGTATATATCATATTCATTGTACACGATGCACCACCCACAGGGGACAAAGTTCGAAGTAATCAACCTCCCCTCCTAACGATAAAAATGAAATTGAATAGTAAGCGTCTACCAAACAGGCTATCGTGTCATATTTACTGTGGTAGTTCTATGTGATTGTGTGATAACAGTATGCCGCTGTTATCCATTCCGTTAATCGGCCGGCCTCGAGTGTGATACGAAAGCGACATCCGGGAGCCGTTATCGGACCTACTCGTACCATACACAATCAAAGGGTTGAAGTGATCCCAATACAAACAAAAAACAGGTCAAAGGGCTGCCCAAGTCACAAGTCAGCTTAAATGCAGATGTACTCAATATATGTACATATAAAAGCCGACCATACAATTTCGAGACTTGAAACACTCGGATGAAATGAGGCAATCAGTACGCCGGTAACTACCTCTAGTGGTATATACGTCATGCCAACGACCCCGAGTTCATAGCTTGTCGCTGGGTGGATGGTACATATTGTAGGTAAATATGGTCATAGCGGCAAGATACCCAACCCCAATTGCTTGCAACATGTTCACGAGCAGACCGTCTTCTTTCACATACAACAGCCGTCATTATATTTTCAACAAAACTGCGCTGCTTCCAAAACACATCTCGTACACCGCCCCCCTAATGACAATTCTCTACCGGCCAAACCCAAACCATCCCCTCTTCTTGGGCTTCTCTTCCTCCTGAGTCTGCTCCTCCTGAACCTCCTCAGTCACTTGCTGCTGCTGCTGCTGCTGCTTCTTGTCCCCACCAGCAGGAATCTTCTCAGGATAATCAATATAATTCCACGCCACATCCAAGAAGATAGGCTTAACAGGGATCGCCTCCAAGCGGGGCGGATACACAACAATGTTCTCCAGGTTGACCTGGCCGCTGGAGGGGTAATTGGCTAGTTGGCCGATTAGGGGTTTTCCATTGCTGCTGCTGCTTCCGGCAGAAGGCTTCTTGTTCTTGTTGTGCTCGCTAATCTCCACCAGGGCGCGGGCACGCTGGAGCTCGCCGTTGAGGAGGGAGTGCAGGGTTTGGAAGTCGGCGGCAGAGACGAGGATGTTGCGGGCTGGCGAAGATTCCTCGGAGGAGGTAGAAGAAAGGATGGGCAGCGCGGACTCGGTTTGGTTGAGGGCGTGGCGGATGAGGGCGAGAGCGTTGGCGTCGTTGTGGGCTAGGGAGTGGGAGCGGGCGATTGCTAGGGACCTGGGGGGTGGGCGCGTGTTAGTTACAGGTGAAAAAAATTGGGAGATGGGGAATGGAGGAAGGAAGGAAGGGAACATACTTGAGAGCAGTAAAGTATTGCGAAGTGGCTTGCAGACGAGTGAAGAGCTCCTGGTCGTTCGCAACACCAGGCAGCTCTGTGATGGTTTCCAGACTCTGAAGAGTACCGTCATACAGAACCACCTTCTCTTTTAGCTTGGCAATCTGACGGCCGGGGGCTTCCTCCTTGGGCCTCTCGGACGCCTGCTCAGCTTCCTGAGCCTTCTTTCCTTTCTTGGACAGGTCATCAAAGGTGGCGCGCGCACCGTCAAGCTCGCCAGCGAGCACCCTGTTACGACCAATTCGCCAGCTGATCATCTCAAAATTGACGGCTGTCCTTGTGATCTGCAAGCTCTGCATGCGAGGATCGCTCTGTGTGACACCTTCTCCCCGGAGCTCGTCAATGGCCTGCTTTGTCGCATCGACAGCATCCTGGGTTGCGGCCAGAATGTCATCGTAGGCGGCGGCCTTGTCCTTGGGTGGCAGCGAGCTGGCAGAGGATAGCCTCTCGTTCAGCTTGGCCTTTGCTGTTTGTACCGAAGCCCAGGCGACGGCAATAGAAGCGTCCTCGATCTTGACCCCCCGTGAGCGCCATGTGATGGTAGTCGGTGCTCCCTCAGCGCTAGTAACGCCCGTCATGGTCACATCGCCCTGCTCCAAAACACTAGGGTTGACAGCCTTGACACGGTCCACCAAGTCATCGTCGGCTTTGGCGAACGCCTTTTTGGCAATCGAAGGAATCGGTTGGGTGCGAGGAATCTTGGCCTGGTACGCAGCATAGCGGATCGACGGGTCGATGGTATCGGTGAGGAGGTCTTTGTAGATGTCGCCCTTGGTAGAGGTCGAGAGAGCACTGTAGATCATGCGGGCAACGGCGTAGCTGACGATACAATCCTCCCAGCTCTGCTTCTCAAAGTTGGCGGCACCCCTGAGCAAGGCGGCGTAGGCGCGGGCTTCGAGGATGTCGTTAGGGCCGGCGCCGCTGACTGCGTCCTGGGAAAGCACATCTGCGAGCTTCTCGGCCGTGCGGGCACCCTTTTCGAGTCTAGAAACAATGTGTGACCTGGTCTTGCCGGTCATGCCCTTGGTGTCAGCAGCATGCGAAGCCTTCATGGACATGGCATGAGCCCATGTGCGCTCGGCGGTGAGAAGCGCAAGGTGGAGGTATCTGAGAGTAGCACACGAGACGAGGTTAGCAGGACGGCCGGCAAGCATTGCGCCACCACGACAGGCACAAGAGGGAGTCGTACTCATGGTTGTCCGAGATTTGCTCAGCGGTAATCTGGGCCTTGGGGTGGAATTTGCCTCGGCTCTTGGTCGCAATGTTGGGCTTCTTGCGGGAGTTGAGAAGCTTCCTGGAGAGTTGGGCGCGATATGTCGCATAGTCACCGTAGAGGAGGGCGTTCTCCCGGTGGGATACCACGAACTTTGTGATATCCATGGTGTTGAGGTTGGTTATGTGTAGTGGGTGTGTGTAATCAAGGTGATGCGCCCCGGTCGCAACTAGAGGGTCCTACAGAAAGGAGTTATGAAGCACCCGTTGCGCAACTTGGCGTAGGGCCGGTAGCTTCGATCAATGCCGTGGTAGTATGTAAAGAGCAGTTGGAGACGGCCTCTTTGTACGTCTGGCGGCTTGCAGTGAGTCTCGACGTCGAGGTTGAACCTGGAAAGTGTGGGGCGCGTGGGCAGCTCTCTCTCATGGAGCACCGTGTCCAGGTCCATGTTACTTGTGTTGTCCCCCAATTGCCCCGCATGGGATTGATCATCGATAGTGAGCTTCGGGCCAGCATGGAACAGCTGGCAGCAGTCGGATTTCAATGATTGGCACCCCCGACGAGATCTGAGATAGTGTGTACCTAGGGGATCCACCGGACCAGGAGAGCTCACACGGCCGTCTCACTCTCTGCACGTTGCTGGGACCGAAGCTTTTTGGTGGACGGCGGCGCGGGCGGGCTGGGCGGGCGGCCATGTCGTAGGTAGGTGAGCCCCACTTTCGCGCCGTGAAATGGTCGAATCGCGCTCAAAAATTTTGGTTGGTGCTTGCGACAGCCAGAGTCTCGTCTTTCAAGGTATTTTTTTGGCGAATTGTGACCGAGCAATCCGACAGCGTTGTTTTCTCTTACCCCGATTCGGAAGCAATCCTAGCTCTCATACGACGTAGCTTTCCGAAGCTATCACCTCCCTCCCAAACGCCCCCAGACTCTATTCCAGAACGCCCATCCCAGGTCGAACACTACCCTAACAAGGAAGACAAGCCGAGACGAGCGAGGGACAAACAAAACGAGCGCGGAACATGCCCGAGAGAGACGACCAACACCTACGACTCACACATTAACTACGCCAGCTGGCTGGGCCTCCGCCTTCCAACGCGATGCTGGAGAGGACGGCGGCGAGCCTCGAAACATGCAGCCTCCAGAGAGTTCTCCCCGTCGCCAGAACCTCGCTGAAGAGCCAGCGACAGCTACACACAGGCTTTTGGCAACATGGCGCCTCCGACCTTGAGCTCCTCGATGTCTACCAGACCCTCCTGCGAGACTCGACACCGACAACGACGCAGAACCTTGGTAGCTCGCAGACGACCAAGACCGAAAACAGAATAGAGCCCATGAAGGCGTCCATGTTCTTGCTCGACTTCCTATACCCAAGTGGAACCGCCGCTCTTCTTCGGAATATTCTCCCCATTCGACTACCATCCCTCGAATCGGCGCACAAGACTCGTAGAAATGCGACACGTTTATACAGTTCAGCGATAAATAACAACTCCGGCGCTGCGCAAGAACCGCAAGAGAAACCGCAAGCGGACGACTCGTTCATGAACGCCGACCTTTTCGAACAGTACTGGAATGAGCAGGAGAGTGGTGTCATCCAAGACAGGAGACCCCAGAAGGTTTCCAAAAAATCTGGCCCTCGGGTACTTCGGGAGCTCCTCGAGCCGTCAGAGTTCGGTCCCATGTACGAGCAGATATGGACGGCTTACAACAAGCTCGAACCCAACGAGCAGGAGGATTTCAAGAGCGATGTCATGGTCAACTTTGCGCAGTCTGGTCGGTCGGTTGATGCTTGGAGGATCCGCGAGCTGTTCGCCACCGTGCCTGTTGAGCAGTGGACGGAATCCATAATCAAAGCCGCTATCAAGGCCGGACTTGCCTTGGACGACGTGGACAATGCAAAGGCGCTATTTTCCGATGCCCTCAAAAAGAAAGGTCTTCATCAGGGACTTGACGATGTCATGGCACACGCATTCAACACCTCTTCGTGGCAGCTGGCCTTGGACATTTGGAAGTTATTTAGCAGCTTCAGGGGCTCTGAAAAGCTTACTGTCGAATTCAAGACATTGGCTTCCGTGCCCGGCTTTCGGGATAAGCTGGCCGAGTTTGTCGAATTTGTTGCGCCCAAGGTGCCAGCGACGAAGGCCAAAAAGTCCGCCAAGACCAAGTCGGTCAAGACAAAGTCTCCGGCCGATACAGAGTCTGCGCCTAGCTCAGCACTTGCAGTCGATACGGAGATCGCAGATTTCGTCAGAGTCCTTGCCAACAAATCACTACCCTTATTCTCGCCAACGGACGCAGTCGTTCTTCTTCGCCATGCTGCGGATCCATCGGCATACGAGGCTTTCATCAAGCTGGCTATCGAACAGGGCAAGACCAGAGCTGCGGCGGAGGCCTACAAGAAGTATCGTCAACTACCCAAGGCCGAGGTCCGTATTTGGGTGTTGCGCGCCATGCTCGACATCTTTTATCCTACCGACGCTGGCGGCATGGAGCTTGTCCTGAAAGATTGGTACAGCCGCTACGACGCCCTTGAGAAGCGAGTTTATCAAAAGTTCCTGGCATTCTATGCTGGCCGTGGTGATACAAAGTCGGTAACACGTCTGGCCAACGAGTACCGTAAGCACCTCCCAGCGGAAGCCGCGCGAGATATGTCACTCATCTCCAGTCTGATGCACGTGCACGCGCGCAACGGCAACCCTGAAGCGGCTCGCAAGGTGCTGGAAAACTGTTTAGAGCAGACGGGCATGGGCAAACCAAAGACGGTTCACTGGAATATCTTGCTCAATGCTTACGCAAAAGCGTCGGATTACAGTGGCTGTCTCGAGGCCTTTGAGCGTTTGGACGAGGTCGGAAAGCCGGACTCCTATTCCTATGGAACTGTGATGGGTATGGCCGCTGTGCGTGGTGACCTCTCGTTTGCTTTGGTGCTCTTCAACGCCGCGAAGGCTGACGGCATCAAGCCTGATGTGGGAATGGTGGACAGCTTAATTGAAGCTTACTGCCAGAACGATCGATTCCGTGAGGCCGAGGTCATTGTGAAGCAGACGGTGAAGAAGGGCACACTTCCCGGCAAGTATACTGTTCTCTTTAACACCCTCCTCAGTCACCACGCCAGGAGGCGAGACCTCAAGGGGTTGTATAACCTCGTGGAATACATGCACGAGAACAAGATTCCTAGCGACAATGAGACCTATAGCCATCTCTTGTACGGCTTGATGTACTGCAGACAGTCACACCACGCTCTGAACCTTTTGCGGGCTTCCGAGAAGGACAATCTTTTCAAGCCCGCACCTGAACACTACGTTCTCCTTATGGCCTCTTTCATTCACAGTCGTGAACCACATATGGCCCTCAAACTCAACGAGATATTGTCCAAGCGTCAAGAACCCGAGATGGCCGAGCGGACCACTCGTGTCATTGACGCCTTGGGCAGATGGCAGCAGCTCCCCGGCCACCAAAGGTGGCAAAAGGATCAAAAGTACTACATTACAAAGGCCATCAACCTATTCAAGCAGACCCTGCAGAAGACTGGAAAGGGTCAGCAAGAGGCTCCTCGCCCCGTGGTGAACCAATTCGCCCACGTCCTGTTCATCTTGACGCAGATCCGGGATTTCGGCACCCTCGAAGAGATCATGGATCTATACACCACTCAATTCCCATCTGCAAAGGAGCCCAGCAACTTGCCCATCCGCCTGCTCAACAATATGATGCTCGCCGACTACCATGAGCGCAAGTTCGACCGAGTCAGAGAGATCTGGACTCACGTTCTCAGGAAGACGACATTACAAGCCTTCGGTGAAGTCGCCGAGGAGCCACGGGAGATGGGTGCTGAGGGCGCGGAAACACCAGCTCAACATCTTGTCGGCCCTTACAAGTGGATCCTGTGTGACCCCATCAAGACGATGCAACGCGTCTTTTACGACGAGAACGACGCCGACGGGCTCATGGCATTCGTCAAGGACGTCCGCAGCCGTGGCTTCGAGCTCGACAGCAAGAACTGGAACTACTACGTCCAATCGCTTGCGCGCATGAACCGTTACCGCGAGGCCTTCGGCGAGTGCGAGGCGCGTCTCATGCCCAACTGGACAGGCTGGTACCGGGTTCGCGCGCGGTCTGCCACGAAGAACCAGCTGCCGCTCGAGCTCCGTCGTCTCGGCTCGTTCCCTCAACGCCCAAGACCCATCTCGCACACCTTGATCATCATGGCCAAGAAGTACATGGACTTGGAGAACTTGGCCAACTGGCAGAAGGAGGCAGCCAATCAGCTGGAGTGGGTAAATGCGGAGTGCCCGCTTACCATCAAGGCCGTCAAGACCATGATCAGAGCGGACTCGGACTTGGAGAAGAGCGTCTTCAACGAGACCGAGGACGTGCTGGCGACGGAAGAGGGGTACGCTGAGAGATATGAGGAGGAGGAGAACTGGTCAGAGATGGCGAAGGGGGAGTTGAGGGAGACGGCGAAGAGAGAGCAGGCGTTTGCGAACCAGCTCATGTCGAAACGTATAGTATAAACAGACACTTACCTTGTATAAAGATCTTTGAAGAAGTTGAGCATGGGACGGAGTCTAGATATCACGGGCTTGAACTTTTTTTGCATAATTGCTTGGCCTGCATGGTTATCTTGTTGTTTGGGATATGGGCGATGAAGTACATAGACTATTGGCTCTGGTAGAAAAAATGGGATGGGCAGGAAAAGTGCATGGTCGGCTAGAAAAAGCCTCTTGTAGGGCACGGAGTCAGACGCGTTATTGAGGTAGAGGCACTGGGTGAAGTGCTTGGAAGGTCGTCTTCTAACTAGACAAGATATAACATGGCGAACAAGTAAAGCAAAGTGAACATGGGCAATATGGTACATGGTTATTTTATGCTACCATGCTAACTAGGGGTTCGTTCTTCCTATCTATGATATGATATGCTTTTCCCTCTTCGTTTCTTGTCTAGTTCCACCATCTGCCATCCCCTCCTCATGTCTATCAAAAGTATGAAAAGCGAGACTGGCCTAAAACGAAAACGAGACCGTTCAAAACAGCATGTAATTAAGGTAACCTCTCTACTGCTCCTCCCTCTCCAACCCATCAACCTTCCTCCTCAACTTCTCCATCAATTCCGCCATCCTCATCGAACACTCCGTCGTCCTCGGCAACTCATGTCCGCCCCCATGATCAAACCTCTCGTTCATCCCGCCCTCAAACATCTGCGCCAGCTGGACACTGGCCGGCCACCTAGGATCCTTTCCACCATACACATGCACAGTCGGCACGATCTCTCCCAGATTCCCCACCGCCATCCGCATTCTTTCGTCGGTAAAATCCAACCCAAACACATCTTCCGGATCTACCTCCTTCTTCGAAGTCGGATCATGCATCAAGTCCCCGACCTCATCCCACAGCCCCTCCCCGCGTTTAATTGTATCAGGATTATCCGCCTTGAACTTCAATTGCTCCGTACGCTTGTGAAGCAAGGCAGCAGTGGCATTGTGCACCTTCCACGCCTTTTCCGTCACGTCCACTCCCAGGTCTTGCAGGACATGGAGGCTAGGGCCCCCGCAGATGAACATGGCCCCCTTGAAGGGCAACTCGAATTTCTCACCAGCTGGTCGGGTCAGCTTGTGTTCCTGGTAGCGGTAGAGGATGTAGGACATGAGCAAGGTGCAGCCCTGGGAGAAACCCATGACTAGGTCGAAGGGACCTTCTTCGGAAGAAAGAAGTTCTTCCAGATGGTCGTGCGAGGTCCGGATCTCAGAGATGTTGGAGGATTGGACCGGCCACCAGCCGTAGAATTTGGGGACTTGGTTCCAAATGCTGTCCACGCCGACGGTCGGGGCCGAAGGCAGGGGTGCGTTGGGGAAGGTGAAGGTATATGTTTCTTTGGGGAGTTTGAAGCGGAATGCGGCTGTTTGGGTTGATTGTGTGTTAGAGTTGGTACAGGTGGTGAAGAGGAAGGGAATGGGGAGGAGGGGGGAGGAGGAGGAGGAAAACTCACCTGTCTGTGATCGAAAGATTTCACCGCTGGTGCCGTAGCCGTGGAGGGCTAAGACCCGGGTCATCTTAGGCTTTTCTTCTTGCATTACGGAACCCATAGTGCCAAATGCTATAACTTGCGTCTAAGTCTTCTTGTGTTGGTTTGTTTCTAGCTTCGGGGCTGAATTCTTATTGCTGTAAATCCAAGTTGAATGGCGAGATGGGAGAAGTGGAAATAAATGTCTGAAGAGAGGAGTTGTGAGAACCAAAGAAGCGAGATGATGCAGTCCTTCACTTAAGAAGACAAAGCAGGAACAAGTATTTCTCAAGCTAACTTGATAACCACAGCTTTTAATATGTTTTGACGGGAAAGTATCATCCAACTTTTTTCCTGTTTACTTTGGGTACTGCGGTCCACGTTCCGGCAATCACAACTCGGTACTCCGGGGATTCGTTGGAGGAAGTCCGATGGGTGAGCGTAAGATCAAGCTCGCCTGGAACGGTTTCCGAGCCGAGTGTAAGAGGCACGGCTGGTCCAGACCGAAATATTTCCGAGTGTCAATGGCGCCTTCTCTGCTCATTAGTTCCAGTCCACCTTGATTTGTCGTCACGTTGAGGTGGAAAGTGGGAGATGATACTTTAAAGTTTCTAGTCCTTCTGCATCAACATGTCGATTCCGCATCGCGTACTTGAGCCGATTCGTTGCATGTCTGCAGCTGTAAAGCTATTATACTCTGTCTCAGATCTGACTCTGCTATGAGGTACTTCAGCTGGATACAAAGAAGCCACCAATAAAACCATTGCACACACGCACATTGCTCCTACTTCACGCCATTCCATGCATACTTCCCATGCCATGATTGTATGCCAGGGTTGCTTCCGCATGTTAGTTGAGTCTTGGATGACAGGAAGCTGCAGTCTACAGCTGGATGTTGTGTAACAAGGAATGATTACATACATATTTGAGATGTTGACATTGTTCTGACAGAAAACTTTTGATGGCGCTTTTCCCCAGCAGTTCAATCCCAGTTAAATGCTCAAATGCCCTTGTCACCAACTTCTTTTCACATGTTTCGGGTACGTTAGCCCTCCGGCTTGTCATATTCTGCATTGCTGATCTTCTCACGGTCATGTTGATCGGTAAGCATCCCGATCGGAACCATATCTGATACCTGGACCGTCCGATCGGAATCCGAATTTTTCGTTGTCTTCGAGATCTGGGTGAAAACTCATCTCCTCGGATGAATACTCTACATCAACCGCATTGTTGGGAGCTATCAGTTGAACAACCTAACCAATCACTCCTTCTCTTCTACCTTCTCCTTCCACGAACGGTTTCCTCCCTCCCCCTCTCCCTCTCCCTCGTCCTTTCCCTTCTTCTTTCCTCTCCACCAGTGTCTCTCTCCCTCTCTTCACGACTCTCCCTTCTTCCCCTCTCAATCTTCCCCGCCTTTTCTTCCTTCCCACCCGTTCCCTTTCCATCATCGACCTGCCCCTTCTCCCATTTTTCGTAATCCCTCACCATCCCCTTTGCAACTCTCTTGACACTTTCCTTTCTCCCACTCCGTCCCCCTTTCTGTCGCCCTTCCCCCTTTTCATCCCCACCATCACCATTATTACCACCAGCCAAACCTTCCTCCAAGATCCCTCCCACCAACCCCGCCACCCCCCTCTGCACCACCTGCTTAACCACATGATGCCTCAACCCGCCCTTCCGCATCAGCTTCGGATGGCGCCTCTGCTCATGCTCAATCAACCCGTCCACGACCGCGGCGCCGAGAGCTGCTGCAGCGATTTTGGAGCCTGATTGTGCGGAGAAAAGCGGGGTGGAGGGCGAGTCCTTGCGGAGTTTGAGAGCGGTGGCGGCGCCGGCTTCGAGAGCGCGGGAGGCGGCTTTGAGGAGGGAGGCGGTCTTGGGGGAGGATTTGAGGGTTGCGAGGTTGAGCGAGGGACGGCGGGACTGGTGATGGTAAGAAGTGGACGGAGGGTTGGAGTGTGCGCGGCGGTGGTAGGATCGGGGGTAGTTGTTGTGGTATGTGTCTTCTTCCCGCTCGTCGTCGGTGTAGTTGAGGTGGTGATAGGGTGTTGTGCGGAATCTTCGACGTGGACGGGGATAGTAAACGTCGTGAATAACTGAACCTCTATGTGGAGGTGTTGGTGACCGGTTGACGCGGCGTCGGCGGGTGCGAGGAGAGATAGCTGTTTCGGAGTCTGATGTTTCATGATCTGGTTCTCGCCTCGGTCTTGATCGTATGGGTTCTCTTCGGTGATGACCTGTTCCGTGGCCTGGTCGCACTGACTGGCGACGACTTCGATCCACTGGTGAGCGTGTACGCGGCGAGAGAGTGCCAATGGTAGATGGTCGTCTTGTTCTGCCTCGTGAACGAGTAGAGCGTGCATCTTCATCATGCCCGTCTTTTTGTTTTATTGGCATGGCATCCCCTGCTTCCAGGTCCAAATCCCATTGACTCTTTTCTTCATCCTTGTCCCTGTTCGGATCAAGAGGGTGTGTGAGGTAATAAACATCCCGGGGGTCGAATTCCGATTCAGGATCATCTTTATGGTCTTCATCTATGGTCGAGAAGCGTGAATCGCTGATGATTGACGTACTTCTTTGGCTCTCTCTTCGGCGATGTGTCAACGCCGGGGAGGACTGTCGCCGGTGACTTCGATAACTCTTCCCGTCATCGTGTCGAGAACTTATCTCTGAACGAGGACGGTGGGCGGGATCGGGAGGACAAGACTCGCTTGGTCGTCTTGTGAGACGATGCATCTTTAAGGGTGACTGTAGCCGAACGACGTGTTGATATACAGTTCTCGGTAGATATTATGAAAGTGGTGAGTATATTTTCAAGTTGGTCCAAGAATAATAATGCTCTGGTTAAAACACTCTAATAGCCTAGATATGAATAGAAAACGAGGATGTAGCTGAGGTATTGTCGTACCAAGTCAACGACGGATTCGTGCAAAGTTTAAGGTCTGTGGATCACCGTGTTGTTATCTGTTCTATGAAGAGCTTTGCCAGGTCACAGAGGTCAACAACAAATTACCCTTCTTCCTTCCCCCATTAACCCAAGCAGCCCTCCCAGAGACCGACTATGGCTTTATGTACCTGCAGTAGCTGAGCACAAGTCGGGCATCCATCCGTCCATCCCTCCGTCCACCATACTACCCATCCGTCCCTCCCACTCAGATGGGGCTCCTTTGCACATTAGCATCATACCAAGAAACAACCTTTGACCAAACAGACCCGTTGCTGAGCTGGTATCTCGGCACGTCACAGTGCATCAAGTCATATGAGAGGCAATTGGCTTGTCCCAGATGTTTGGTATAAGTGTGGTAACGCGGTAGGTTCTAGACCTTTCCTCCAGTCCCGGACTACCGAGCCCGTGTAACAGTCTCACTTGTGTACTTGTACCTCATCACCACGGCACTAGCTTGGTGATTATGCCTCGTATTGGTCGTTTGTACCTCTGTGTGCTGGATTTTGTATGGCATGGACCGTTGGGGTCGATATTATTGTGCAGTGTGGTGGTACGTATCTTTGGAAGCTCTCGTGAGGTACAGACCGGTTGGAGGTGATTGATTTACTCGATATTGCGCCTAGAACAAGGAACCTCGATGTGGTTCGGCTTGCCAGCGAGCGTATCTTTACCGGTTGTTGTACAAAATAGTCAAGGTGTCTAACCACTTTCTGTTCTTGTGCGCTCTAGGTGTTTGATCGTCGTAATAGGAGGTGAAAGGCATGGACATGGAATGATGTGAATAAGGGCTGGTTCCACAACCGTATTAATCGAATGTTTCTCTTCCTCAATCAAAAGACGCGCAGCTACTGGTAACATGTGTTCACCGTGGTCTCGTCTGTCTAACAGTAAGTACACATGTTTGCGACGTATTGACATCACCAGAAGGCCCAAGTCCCGCTTCGTGATCTTGACCGAACCCCGGATTTCCCCGGTCTTGAACACAACCGAGAACCTTTTTCTTTTCCGGATCTTACCTACCCACAGGTACGACTTGCGCCAAATGTGAACTTGCGTCATCTGATACCTAATTGTAAAACATTCACAGCGCTGCCTATTTCCAATTTCCTTTCCATTTTCCCCCAGATGAAGGGAAACGAGCAGTGCTCACTTCGCTGCCTCACCCGACAGAGACTTTCCGTCATCTTTCTGCTCTACATAGACAACCTTTGGGTAGGCACGTGAGAGACGCTCTGGACGGGCGGTTCCAACTGTCAGACCTTGAAAAAGGCTCGAGTCATAGCTGCTGTGAGCAGAAGCAAACGTTTCATCCCCAAAGTTGCTCACGATGACTATGTCGTCTGCGTTCAGTTCCCCTTGATGTGAGAGTGCAGGTAGTTGTGGCTTGTCCAATTCGAATGGCGAGGGAATGGGAAGATCATGCTCGCTGGCATATAAGTGCGAGAGGCTTTCTTCATGCTGAGGGATTTGTTGGTCGGGCTCTTCAACCTGCAAGTTGAATTTCTGATTTAGTCCCTGTTGCTCCGATTGCAGTTCACGGATTGACGTTCTGTGGAGGCTATCCTTCTCAGGGGTGTTGACCGGTGGGGCCATGGATTGGTGTCCGTCAAAGGGCGAGTGTCGTTGCTGACTCCGTTCGGATTCCTTTGACTTCCGTGAATATGCTCCATCCTCGACTATGGTCCTGTCATCCCTGAAACTGCTGGACCCGCTGATTTGTACTCCTGACCGGAATGTGTTTGTGGGCTCCAGAGTTCTTTGAGGGCCATGGAGGTCGTTCAGCTCGTTTCCCAGGTTGAGAAACTCCCGCCTCTGCCGCCGTGTGTAAAAAAACAAAGCCAGCCCTGCAATTGCTAGCAGTCCAAGAACGGTCGACACAGTACCAGCGATGGCCTCCGCTGGAAAGCTGTTGACGGGCACTTGAACGGGGTAACCTATGGCATAGACAACGTCGAAGACGACAACGGTGGGGTTGGCCCCGTTGGATGATACTGTATTCGCATTCGTGATGGGAGGCGGTGTCATTGCTGCCTGGAGGACACTAAAGCACGGTGTCTGGCCTCCTAGGTCAGTCGTCCATGGGGTGTAACCGCTACGGAGTCATGGTCAGCATGATACCAGTCTGAGTTACGTTTCTCAAATGCAGGTGGTGCCTACCTGGGGCAGCAACTGGCTGAGATCGAGTAGTAGTCGGCGGGGCAGCGTTCTAGGACCGCCTGTTCAGAATCGGAGGTTTCAGGATACACGTCATTGAACCCTATTTCCACCGATGATTGCGGCTGGAACGGGCAGCAGTCTTGCCTGGTGTTTACGCAACCAACAAAGGGCGCGTAAACCGCAGATGGTCCCAAATTAAGTAAGGTGTACTCGGGCGTCGCGCATGTCTCTGTTAACAAACCTGCGCCAGGCTCATGCGTGACCGCGACACTACCATCTGGAGACGAGGTGACCACAATTGAGGGTTGTTCCATCGTCACTGTTGCCCCTACAGTGGTTGGTGATCTGTAATGAGGTGTCAGTTCAAGAATCACACTGGCGTCAATTTGGCAGGGACGTACACGCTGGCCATGGTGTAATCCTCCGTGGAAAAGTGATGGGACGCTGGAAAAGCCAGAGGTAAAATTCGTTTCCTTCAACTCGATCAGAAGCTGTTTTACACTCCTCCTCGAGACGCTCACGGTCAGAATCTTTAGGGTCTGGCGCAACAACGGAGGAGGATCTTGCAATGGTGATCTCTGTGACGCGGGGTTGTGAAAAGGAAGACGACCACGAAACGGCAGAAATTTTCGAAAACTGTTGGGACTTGGGATGATTTGGGATGAAAAACTGCAATGCTGCAGCACTCGTGAGAACCTGAACGCCGCCCAGGTACTGATAAACCCCTCCTTCCAAAGCTGTGGTGGAACTAAAATGTGAAGGCAAACATGGGCCGTGACCAATATCTCGTTTTCATGCTCCTTTCTGTGAGGATATGCCTGGAGTTCCATCTGTTGATCGATGCTGCATTACGAGATCACGGCCGCCTTGATGTTTGCCGAGCGGACGTGCGGCCTTGATGGAGCATCCCAACCCGAGGATACCCAGATGCATGGCATCTCGGGACCTGGATCTGTCAAGAAGGTTAATGTCAGTGTACTCTCTGTCGAACCCCGAGCCTTGCACGCCATCTTAAAAATCAGGTTCATGATACCAGGTCTCGAGCGACTCATGAGTTTACTATACCCATGTGAGATGTTGAGGACTTTGCTCTTCGGATTTGCCTTCTGCCGAAACAGGCGACCTCGACGACGGCGAGCGATGGTCAGAATTACACAAACACGGACAGCCCAGTACCGCTCGTCGTGGCTGGAAAAAGACCATCACGAAATTGTGGTAGGGATTACAACGACTTGGAAACATATCGGCCAGAGTCCACCAGAAATTCTGTCATGCCTCGAATTTGTGGTTCAAGGGTATAATCAAGACGCTTGGGCGCTTCCAAGAGTATACCCAAGGTGTGATTTACTGACCGTGACGTGGTCGGTTTATTCTTATGATCGTTTGAACGGGTTGGAGGCACACAGTCCTCCTTGAGATGATGATCCCTCTCAAAGGAGGATATGTACCTCATAATTCATGTTTGGAAGACTGGGGCAATGGGTGAAACGGGAAAAGAAGCATACGAACATAAGTGTACAAGTGATGACCGTCATGAGGCTCTTCCTTCCCATTGCCCACTTGACAAGGCGAAGCTCTGATCGATGTAGCAGATGGCCAAATGTGAAGAAAGGAATTAAAATAAAAACAACTCGTATTGTCTCCCAGCAGTGATTTATACGTGGCTTGAGCTGGGATCACACTGCGTGAACACAGAGGGCACAAGCCCATTTGTGCCGATATCAATCAAGAGAAAGATCGGAACGAGTTAAAGAGTGACGAAGGTGATGGAGATAGGTGCCAACGGTAAGAGAATCGGGAAGAGTTGGAATCTATGAACGGGAGGGTGTGGAGCTACCTAATCTAGAATAAGTCTTGGAAGAGGTCTGTGCAGGTGGTCAAGTCACTGAAGCTACCTGAATGGAAACAGCGGGGAAGGCCCTGGGTGCCAGGGACCCCAGGTGGCCGTCAGGGTACATCTCCAGATCTTATCCGAACTTCTGCTCAACGTCATCACCGGCATCATCATCATCAACATTGGGCATTGACCAAGCCATGTCGATTGCTGCATAAAGGACGGCCCGTATACTCCCTGTCAGGCAGGGAAAATAGCGGACAAGATGACAGATGCAGCCGAAAGCGACATTACTGTTGCCAGCGCCCTCGCCGGCGGCGCTCCCGAGCCGGGCGCTACAAGCTCGATATCACCGCCGCCGCCGCCTTCAGGTTCCGATCGGGACCCAAACAACCTCAACCCAAAGAACCCAAAGACCCCCCCTATTCCGGCCGATTTCGAGAGCGAAGGGTCGGCCAAACCGCCTTTTCCTCTCCTTCACAATAATGCCAGTGCCGATGCCGAGGCCGAAGGCTCGAGAAAGGACAAATCATCGCGTGCCGGCGCTGGCGTCGGTGACAACGACGATGACGAGCCCGCTGTCGCCAAGCCTTTCCACCGCACCACCAGTCCAGATCCGACTCAACGTTCAGGTGCCCTGGCCCCCGAGGAGGAAGAGGAAGATGTGGGCAGGATGGATGGCACTTCTGGCGAACGACCCCGGTCCAGGCTGAAGCACAAGATGCACAAGTTCAGTCTTTACGAAACCGCTAGTCGCTTCTACATGGTCGGCGGCGATGTCACTGAGAAACGCTACCGCATCCTCAAAATTGACCGTACCGCAGAAGACGCCTCTGAGCTTAGCATTACGGATGACAAGACCATCTACTCCCAGAAAGATATGAACCAGCTGCTGGACACCATCGACGACGGCAACAAGGGCACTGGTGGTCTCAAGCTGCGCTGCACTACCTGGGGTCTGCTTGGTTTCATCAAGTTCACCGGCCCATGGTACATGCTGCTCATAACCAAAAAGAGCACAGTTGCCATGATAGGCGGCCACTATGTCTACCAAATCGATGGCACCGATCTCATTCCCCTGACCTCGCCCAGCTTCAAGACAGACCAGCGCAATACCGAGGAGACGCGCTTCTTGGGCATCCTCAACAACTTGGACTTGACCAGATCTTTCTACTACAGCTACTCGTATGATATCACTCGCACGTTGCAGTATAACATCACCAGAGAGCGAGAGGCGTTGCTGAATGGTCAGGTTGGCCCTATGGAGGATGACCTGAACTCCATGTTCGTCTGGAACAACCACCTGCTTCAACCTGTCGCCAACGCTTTGAACACTCCCTATGACTGGTGTCGTCCCATTATTCACGGCTACTTTGACCAAGCCGCCATCTCCATCTACGGACGAACCGTCCACGTTACTGTCATTGCCAGAAGAAGCAGATTCTTTGCCGGCGCAAGGTTCCTTAAACGCGGCGCCAACGACTTGGGATATGTAGCAAACGATGTCGAGACTGAGCAGATTGTGTCCGAGTCACTCACAACTTCTTTCCATGCCCCGGGCCCCAAGTTCTTTGCCAGCCCAGCGTACACCTCGTATGTACAGCACAGAGGCTCCATTCCACTGTACTGGACTCAAGACAACACGGGCGTGACGCCCAAGCCACCCATCGAGCTGAACCTCGTTGACCCATTTTACACAGCAGCAGCTCTACATTTTGATAACCTGTTTGAGCGGTACGGAGCACCAATCTATGTGCTGAACCTGGTGAAGGCGCGGGAGCGCACTCCGCGCGAAAGTAAACTGTTGGACGAGTACACCCGCGCCGTAGAATATCTTAACCAGTTCTTGCCCAAGGAAAACAAGATCATCTACCGTGCCTGGGACATGTCGCGAGCCGCTAAGAGTCGGGACCAGGATGTCATCGGGACACTAGAAAGTATCGCTGAGGACGTTGTCCTGACGACCGGCTTCTTCCACAACGGTGATGGCCACACTTCCCCGATCCGGGTCCAGAACGGAGTCGCACGGACGAACTGTATCGACTGTCTGGACCGAACCAATGCGGCCCAGTTCGTGATTGGCAAGCGTGCCCTTGGCCACCAGCTCCATGCTCTCGGCATCTTGGAGGACACCACCGTCAACTACGACACCGACGCCGTCAACCTGTTCACGCACATGTACCACGACCATGGAGATACCATTGCCGTCCAGTATGGCGGCTCACAGCTCGTTAACACCATGGAGACATACCGAAAGATCAATCAGTGGACCAGTCACTCGCGCGACATGATTGAGAGTTTCAAGCGGTATTACAACAACGCTTTTCTCGACGGTCAGCGCCAGGAGGCCTACAACCTGTTCCTCGGTAACTACATATTCGCCCAAGGACAGCCAATGCTCTGGGATCTGGGCACCGACTACTACCTGCACCACGAAGATCCACGGCAGTGGCTGGAGAAGCGCAAGCGCCACTACATCAACTGGTACACGCCCGAGTTTCTCAAACCACGCGTCCTGCCGCCGTATCCCGCCATCAAGCCCAATTCACCCCAAAGCAAGATCCCCGTGTCCCGCTATGACGATTACTGGCTCGAGTACTACCGTCCTTCCACGCTCTCGTCCTTCCTCAAGATGTTTGCGTACCGTATGAACTCGACCCTCAGGTACATACCCTTCAAGTCCACCCAGGACGGCCGGTACGACCTCAGCCCGTTCCGCGTGCGCGGCGAGGTAGGCGGGACCGGTGACAGCGACCATACGCACGACAGGAAGAAGGTCAAGAAGGAGGTGACGTTTGCCACCAACCGCGCCGACCACTTTTCGGGAACGAAGCATCTAGCTGAAGATGCCGCGGATAACGCCTCTGCGATGAACGAGAAAGCCGCTCTTGCTGCCGCAGACAACAACGGCGGTAACGCACCAGGTCACCACCGTGGGCTCTCCCTCCAGCGCTGGCTCCCCGGCAGCGGTACCAAAGAAGCTGCCACCGCCGCAAACACCACCTCCGCCACTGGCCCTTCGGACCCCACCAACAACAACAACAACAACACTACCACCAACCCTTCTCGAACTCTCGGCCGCGAATCCTCAAGTAACAACAACAACACCAGCGAAAGCACCGAACTCGGCGACTACCCGTACCGCCCCTTCAACAACTACCACTCCAACCTTCACCAGCAGTATCAACAAACCCCCAACAACCGAAACAGCAACGGTTACACCACCACCCCTTTAGGAGAAAACAAACACCTTTCCGCCCAAGAAAAAACCCGGGCTGCCCAATCGACCTTCACCAAAGTGGTGCACTCCTCGCTCAACCCAACCGTCAGCGCTGCCGAGGCCGAAGACTACGCCCGCTACGTCAGCCACCCGCACCACTTGCCGCTGGTGGTGTCGAGCGAGATTGCGCCCGGGGAGGTGGAGCCTGAGTACCAAGAGTATGTGAATGGAAGTTGGCAGTATCCTGCTTCTGTTGTTGTGGAAGAAGAAGATGGGGAGGTGAATGGGGGTATGGTGGTGGGGAGTTATGGGGATGGTAGCGTTGGGGATGGGTTGGGGATTACGGGGTATGCTTCAAGTGTGTATAGTGGTTATGGTGGGTATGGAACTCCTGAGGGAGGTGGTGGTGGTGGCAATAGAGGAGGTGCGCCTGGTGGTGGGAATGGAATTATTGGTGGTGGTGGTGGTGGATTAGCGGACGATGACAAAGCGCTTTACATTGAGATGCTCAGGATCAGCGAGAACCCGCTCACCGTGACGGAAGAAGACGCGCAGAAGAAGAGGTATAAAGCCTATAGGAAGTGGTTGAGGGGGAAGAGCCTTTTCAAGCAGCAGCCGGTGGACTAGGAGCCCGTGGTTGTTGGGCCAGAAGAGGGCGAGGATACTACGGGGTATCTGATCAAGGGCGTGGATGAAAAGGAAAGGGATGGCACCAGGCGGGCTTCGTCGGTGGTCTTTGTCGTTGTCTCGCCAAATGAGACGAGGAGGGTGTTGACTATGTGTGGGGCCAGTCGCGGTGTTCATCATGGAATGGACGGGGCTGCTGAGGACGATGATGATTACGGACCCGGAGAGGGTTCTTCCAGAAGACGCAGACGGGACCTTGGGGCTCAAGCCGGAGATGACCAACAGATTCGCTCACCATCCAGAGGCAGGGCGAGAACCCGAACCCAGGGCCTCTGTGACAACGTCAACACTCCAACCCCGAATCTTGTTCCTCGTTCGACGCCGCGGAGAAGAGCTGGGAAAGACAAGGTTCTTTCGCCACTAGCGGTTCGACGACTTCGGAGAGACTGATGGCCGGCTTGCCCTCCTCCACCTCCGTAGCCAGGACAGCTGCGAGGGCGTCTGCTGTGTGAACGAGTGCCTGTCTAATCGCCGGGAAGGTGTCTTCCAAGGAATCAGAGGCGTGAAGATTGAGCCAGCAGAGCACCAGGGAATTGATAATCTCACCCTGCCAAGGCGAGTTGGGGATCCGAGGCCAACATGTTGCGAGGACAACTTGAAGGGCTTTGATAGCTGATAGTAGGGTTGGGGGATGAAGGGAGGCGAATGGATCCGTTAAGATTGTCGAGAGCATGGGGATGATATCCTGTTACGAAATTTGACGACGCGAATGGTTAGCATTGTTTCCGTTTTCTTGTCTTCCCATTCCCCTCTTGTCAAATTCAACTTTGAGCGTCCACGCATCAGCATCAGTAGCACAGAATAAATACCACGTACCTTGAGATGCTTAACCGCATTAACCCCCATCTCCATCAGTACCTCTCCCATCTCCCGACACAACACCTCAACGATCCTCACATACTCCTTAGCATGGAAATACCCTAGCAATATTCCCTCCCTGACCACTCTATCCAGCAACTTGTTCTTCTTCTCTCCACTCAGCTTCCCCGCCAAACGCCTCAACACCGCATACGCCGGCCCAAGCAACTGCACTGACTCGTCCTCCGGCGTGATACTAGGCAGATAACTCAAAGTAGGCAGAACCGTATCCTCAAACACTTTGTTCAGCCCTGTCTGATTCAAAATTCTATTCGGGAACTTGTCCAAGAATTTCTTCAGAATTACCAGCCCTCTTCTTCGAACGGAAGTGGAGTTATCATCCGCCAGCGTCAGCAGCACCGGAATGAAGAGCGGCCAAGAGTTGGTAATTGTCGATTCCTCGTCCGCTTCAGAAACAGTCCAGTCAAACACAGTAATGGCACGCAGATCGACGAATTTCCACGGTTTGGTCTTGCTCGAGTCATCGGGAAGGCCAGAAGGTCGGGCGTCGGGGTTTTGACCGTAGGCGGATGGGCGGCCCGAGGGGGTGATGAGTGGTTGGGAAGGGGAGGAGCGAGAGAAGAGGGGGCGGAGGTAGGTGGGGAGGATGTGGGTTGTTATGAAGTCTTGTTTCTTAGAGTTGGACTTTTCGGCGGAATCGAGGTGTTGCTGAAGGATTAGGGTGGCGCGAGCCGCTAGCTCGGGAGTCGTCCATTCCTCGGTGGGATTGGTGTAGGCGATCAGCGTGACGAGGACGTCAGGGTTGTCAAGATTCTCTGGACCACGCGAGGCGAGGAGCTCGAGGACTCTGAAGCCTGCGTCGGCGGCTGCTAGGCATTGGGTGGTGAGGTGAGCGCGGAGTTGGGTATTGGAGTCGTCGAGGTCGTTCGAGTGGCTGTTTGGTTTTTGAGGGAAGACGGGGGAGATTGCTCGTGCTATGGAGCGAGCTAGGCGGGTTCCTGGTGAGAGGCTATCCTCGCCATCTTCGTTTTCTGAAGTGTTCTCGTCTGCACTTGTTGAATCTTGATCGGGTGCGATTCGGTCTTTGAGAAGTAGGCACGTGAGAACTGCTAGGGTGAATTGCTGTCGGGTAGGTCTTCCGGAGGTGCTGGTGGTGAGGTTCTGGTTTTCTGGGTTAGCTGCTACTTGACAGCTTGCTATTACAGCAACTTAGATGCTCACCTTGTTGAGGTACCTCCCAGCTAATCCTGTTAACTGCCTGAAAGTGAATGATTCAGGAACCTCTACGTTGAGATCAGTTAATTCGTTGCTGAGGTAGTGACGGAGGGCGGGAGGAAGACCCACTGAATTGGGGTTTTTGGCAGGCTTCGTCTGTCGAGATGGACGGGTTCTCATCAAGTACAGACCCGGCTGCTGTGACTAGGGAATCGAACCATTCCGTGTCGTAGTGTGGCATTCTGTCGGAGATTGGTGCGTGTTGTGTTGTGAAGTTTGGATCCATGTGCTGATGAGATGAGTTCGAGGTTGAGCTTTCGATTGCTTGGCAGACGGATGTGTGAACTAAGCTGCAAGGTACAGTGCGGCCGTAGAGCTCCACATAGTGGGTTCTGTTAATGGATGACATTCAGGTGGATACCTTATCTGACGGTAGTGTACCTCTAAGTGCCATCTTTACTACCTATGTACCGAATGTCCTTTTTCTTTTCTGCACCTTTGCTGCTTGTCTAAGACTGGGATAGAGACACAGATACTCTCTCTTTCGGCGTATACGATGGGATATCATGTTGGTACACAAACTGCTTACCAGATCGTATGTGCAAGTTTGGATACCCACCGATTCAGCAAGCAGTACTAGGTAGTTCTGCACCGCTGTACATAGAGGTATCTACATAGCTAAGTACCACAGTACACTACCCCAAATCCCCAAGAGCTGAACATCAAAACACAGAAAGGGTTTGCGGGTAGAAAGCATCCCATCGGGCACGATTTGATGAGCATCCTTGAACAAACCTCGGGAAAGATACAGAATAGAACGAACAAGATCACGACAAGAGTTGGAACCTTGGACAGCCCCGCAATCGGCCAATTGCTCGGGGTAAAAAAGCTGGAGAGTTTCTGGGGCCCCGCGGGACCAAGCAGCACTCCATGCTGTGTACATGCCGTCTGTAACCGCACAAATCACTGAGGAGAACTGGAGCTGTTCGTGGCGTTCATCCCAAGTTTCTATCATTCATGTTCGATTTGTGTTCCCCGAAAGCTCATCATCTGCTCTGCTGTTTTATGAGTTTCAAATCCACTCTCTCAAGTCCACGACTTTACACTCAATAGTGATCAGGTGAAAGCAGTTGGGTCTTCTCAGCAGATTCCTTAACTCATCGTGAAACAAACGCAGTGTCTACAAAGAACCTGATAAACTAGAGGTACCTACCCGAAACAGCCAGTGACCCCGGAGTAACCTCCACCGAACCCCATCTTGCAACTCCATTCGAGTTCAATTACCCGCTACCCTGGTCGCTGTACCCTACCTCTAGGGGTCTTTGTAAGTGACGGCAGTGCGGGGCAGCTCGTACCGGGATTCGTGGGGCAACTACCTACTCCAAGCTTGATGAGAGCTCCCTTTTCATTACCTTAACCCTCTTTCTACCTCTTCCATTATTCCAGCCCATCTTCCACCTTCCTTCTCCTTTCCGGTCCTCAATTAGCTGGTCCAGTTCTCAAGATACTTCCCCAAAAACTCAACATCACAATGTCCGGACCGGTCCCCATCGCCAACTCGCTCGAGGACATCTACACCCGTGATGCCCTTGACACGCAAACAAAACGATGGAACAACCTTCTCTCCAAGTTTGAGTCCACCTACGGCCACCAGCCCGAGTTCGTATCTCGCTCTCCGGGCCGAGTGAACATCATCGGCGAACACATCGACTACTCTTTGTACTCTGTGCTTCCTATGGCCATCACTGCCGACACCATCGTTGCCGTCTCAACACACCTACCAGCTCCCAAGGAAGGCACCTTTAGGATCCAGATCGCCAACGTGCAGGACTCCAAGTTCAAGTCGCGCGAGTTCGACATTCCCTATGATTCCGTCGACATCGACGCCACCGTTCACGAATGGACCAACTACTTCAAGTCGGGCCTACGCGGGGCTTTGGAGCTGTTGCGCAAGAAGCACGGGGCCGACTTCAAACCCAAGAGCATGCAGATTCTCATGGACGGCACCGTCCCGGCTGGTGGAGGACTCAGTTCAAGTGCTGCTTTTGTCACGGCTAGTGCTTTGGCTGTCATGGCGGCCAATGGCGAGCAGACGGTTGACAAGAAGGAGTTGACGGAGCTGGCTATTGTCAGTGAGAGAGCCGTTGGTGTGAACTCTGGAGGGTATGTCAAGCATCAAACTATCAAATTTCATTTGATACAAGGACATAGAACTGACACGATATCGCAGAATGGATCAATCAGCCTCCGTCTTCTCCGAGCGTGGTTCCGCCCTGTTCGTCTCCTTCACGCCCACCCTCCTCGCCTGCCCCGTCTCCTTTCCACCCACCACCCCCGAACTCACCTTCCTGATCGCCCAATCCTTCGTCACAGCCGACAAGTTCGTCACCGGTCCAATCCACTACAACCTCCGCGTCGTCGAATGCACGCTCGCAGCCGCCTACCTCAACGCCGTGCTCAACCCTCCCGGCACTTTATTGCCCGGCGACGCCTCTCCCCTGGGCATTTCCCTTCACGGGTTCCACGAAACCTATTTCGCCCTCTCCGAGCATAACTCGGGCGCAACCTCGAGCAAATCCATTACTGAACAGCTCGAACACCTGCTCGAGCTAACCAAACAAACCCTCACCAAGGAAGAGGGCTACACCCGCTCCGAAATCGCCGCCGTCCTTGGCCTGCCTTCCACCTCCGAACTAGACCAGAAATTCACCTCCCGTTTCCCCGTGCGCGCCGAGCGTTTTAAGCTGCGCCAACGAGCGATCCACGTCTTCAGCGAAGCATTGCGGGTACTCAAGCTCATGAACCTTCTTGAAACTTCCTCTTCTTCGTCATCATCATCATCATCATCATCAACTACAAGCACGCCAGAAGACCTCAACAGCTGCCTAGGTGCCCTACTCAACGAGACGCAGGATTCGTGTCGTGAGGTGTACGAGTGCTCATGCGAGGAGATTGATCGGATTTGCGCGATTGCTCGGCAGGCGGGCAGCTACGGGAGTCGGTTGACGGGTGCGGGATGGGGTGGATGTAGCGTGCATTTGGTGCCGGCGGACAAGGTGAACAATGTCAAGGAGGCACTAGAGAGGGAGTATTATAGCAAGTTGGAGTTGACGGAGGAGCAGAGGGAGGGGGCAGTGGTAGTTAGTAAGCCGGGATCTGGAAGTGCGCTTTATTTGGGTGGGAAGGAAGGGTTGGCTTGATGGATGCTAAATAGGGGTTTGTGTTTACTTATGATGCCTGTGGTTGATTTAGCATGCATGATACAGAGGGGAAAAACCAAGAGTTCAATATACACTGGCTGTTAGGAAAAGTGTTGAGAAGGCTGTGTTCTTCATCCAGTCAATTTTCCTAGTAATTAACCGCTCAACCTGTGTCTTTACAACCATGAACGCTACCACGGTTATCCCATACAGTTCTAGAATTTTATGTACACGGAAAAACGCTATGTGAATTCCCCTGACCAATTTCACCATGAGGGGATGAAAAAAAACCAAAGGAATATATATATATACAAAGGCCAGAAAGGAGACCAACAAGCAGTTGTAACGCCAAAACCCATGTAAATGCACACCCAAACCACGACCCAGTTCGCTGCATAATGCCAATCGCCCAACCTGTCCCAATTCTCGCTGGATCAATAACACGTCTCACCCAACACTATTACCCTTCCAAAAGTTTACGTCTGGTCAAGTACTGACCAAAACCACCCCCGCCTCGAACGCGAGATGAGACTGGCAAAGTCCTACTGATTACCAGTGCCAGCGCCAGCGCCAGCGCCAGCAGCCCTCCGATTAGACCTCTGTCCTCCTCCTCCTTCTCCCCCCCTTTTTCTCACAATTCTCCGCGCCTTCTTCGCTTGCACATTCCTGTACTTGGCATACAGCTCAAACACGTCCCTGATTACCACGAACAGACAGCCACCCGCCAGACTGCGTCCCCATCTCTGTTGCAGCAGACCGCCGGGCCCTCCTTGCATGATTTTTCCACTCCTAAAGAACCCTGACGTGCCAATGGGCCTGGGTGGGGAAGTCCACGACCTCGGCAGTGAAAGGCGGAGAAGCTCGCCCATGCCGTACGAGATGAAGGGGAAGAGGAGAGAGGTGACTACGTTGTTGGTGAGATCTGTGAAGGAAACCGGGGGGAGTTCCACGCCGTCTTGGTCGTCGTCGTTCCTTTCCCGTGCTGCGGGCTGTGGGGGTGGAGCTGCTGCTGCTGCTACTGCTGCTGGCGCGGGCGCGGGCGCTGGCACTGCTGGGGTCGGGGTGCGAGCCTCGGCTTCTGCTGCTTGGGCTGGTGCTGCTTGGGCTGGTGCTGGTTCGGGTGGAGCTGGTTGTGGTTGTGGTTGCATATACTCTGGATACTGTAGACCCCCTCCCCAAACCATACGAATTGGTACGCCTTGATGCAGTGGAGGCACATCCCAGAGCCCACCTGATGCACCGTCGGTGGCAGTGGGAATCTCCTCATCGTGAGGCCCCGGACGGTCAAGGTCGGAAAATAGGAAATCATCGAAGTCGAAGCCATCGTTCCCGTTGACGGCATTATTGTTGACGGCATTAACGCGTATTTCGAAGTCGAAGCCATCGTTACCGTTGGCGGCATTGGCGCCTATTTCGAAGTCGAAGCCATCGTTACCGTTGACGGCATTAGCGCCTAGTCCCCAAGGATCATCTAGATTTGCTTCGTTCTGGTCTGGGGGGTTGATGAGGACAATCCAAGCGGTGCGGCCCAGGTCTAGGAGGTCGGACATGCTGAAGCGGCTTCCACGGTCTTGGTTTCCATTGTTGTCGTTGTTTCCGGCCTCGGATTCGCCGGCGGCACTCTCGATGGGCTGAAGGCTGGTTTCGAGACCCCGTAGAGCCCGGTTGAGGCGATCGTCGATCGGCCTTAGCCAGTAATCGTAGAATCTGATATAACTCATATGTATATAAGGCATCATGACCATTGCCCACGTGGGTGAGGGTGGCCATGTTGGGTGATCGTCCTGGGTTATGAGTGCCAGGCCGTACTGATGAGGTGAAAGATTAGAGTCAGTATCGACCGTGGAGATAGGATGAGGAAAAGGGTTGACAAACCATGGCGGAAAATGGAACAAAAAAGAAATTAGCCAGGAACGGCAAAGCTCGACTAAGGACGACGGCCGGAGCAATGGAAGATAGCGACCACAGCCTCATCATTATTCTCCCTACTCCCGCACTTCTTGCCACGGGTACGGCAACAGCTTGACCAGAAGTAATCTGAAGGCCGACCCACCCGAGTGCAGTCTCGTAGCCAGCAAACCAGGAGGCAGCGACAACACCGTATGTAGCAGAGCTGGCAAAGGTACCGCTCACGGCCATGGACGCGAGGATAATGGGCGACACCTTGCTGAACTGGGAATGTATCGTATCGCGCAGAGCCACGACAAAGTCAAAGGGCTCCTCGACCTTGAAGGGAGCCTTGCACTGCGGACAGCTCACGTCGTCACGGCTGTTCCGCTTTTGGATCTCTTCGTACCATCGTATAAGGCATGTCTCGTGGACGGGCAAACTGCATGTACAAGGATGGATGACCGGTTCGGTAGTGCGTTCGCCTTCATCCTCGTAACAGATGCAGCATCGCTTGAAGTTGTCTGTATTGGAACGTGTGAGGTTATTTGGTACGGGGTCTGGGCCGGCTCGTGAGCTGGTGCCTGGCGTCGCCATCTTGTGCTTGATCGGATGCGGGGGATAAATGATTCGGTGACCGTCGTGGTCGTCGCCGTCGTCGCCACAAAATACAAGCTGTAGAAATGGTTATGGATTGATCTGGTGTGGTTCAGGTCAGCAGACCGCCTTGTTATATCCGGAGAGAAACATAAGTAGTAGTACCTAAAAGAAGGAGTGGACGACAGACGATGGAAAGCAGCGCCGTCAACCTAATGAGGGGCGGGAGGGAAGCCCGAGCTGTGAAGGCTGTTTTTAAAAAAACTAAGGCGCTGTCTTGAACCGCAATCGCGACCGCGACGGACTGTCACCGGGGCGTTGCGTTGTGCATTTCACATGCGTGACATCAGCGAGGCTCCACCCAACGGCACCGGGAGCGCATCGCAATGGAACCCCAAGGGTTCGGGTTTTGGAGGGGGGATCTGTACAGTTAAGCGTGTGCTGAGATCTTATCCGGGGCTTTCATCGTCTGCTACACATTATTTTCTGTAGCAGCTCAAGCTAGCCGCCGACCCCGCAGTTGCCCTCGTCTGCAAGGATATTGTACACTGCAGGTGGGCGTTTGATTGCCCGCCCCATCCAATTCTAGAAGCGTCCCGCTGTTGCAGCCCCTCTGCCATCCCCTCCATTCAGACCAGTGTGCTGTACCTACCTACCCATTCCCCCATTGTACAGACCGCCCGCCCGCCCGCATCCATCTTTCTTGTCAGGTCATATCTCTCTTAAGGTACCCCGTGGCCCAACCAAAATAACCCAAGCCTCAAACTTCACGACATTCTTTCTCTCTCTTTTAGATACCCCTAGATCGACAACGCTCACATCATCATACACAAGATGGTACGCCATATCAACTTCCCTCCGTTTCCTCGAACTAGATGAAAGCTAACCCTCCTCCTCCTCCTCTCAAACAGACGACAACAAAGCAGCGCCTCGCGCTCGCCATCTGCGACTTCCTCAACACCTCCTTGACCGACGGCACCCTCCAAGCCGACGACAAGGACAACATCGACATTGCCGTCAACTGCATCGGCGAGGCCTTTGGTGTTGACCCCTCCGATAAGGCCGCCGTGACCGAGGCCATCGGCTCCCAGAACCTGCTCCAGATTTACTCCGTCTACGAGAAGCTCAAGCAAACCAAGCCTGCCGCCGCCTCTGCCTCCTCCACCACCGCTTCCTCGTCCGCCGCCCCTGCTGCGGCCAGCAGCAGCAGCAATGGCCCCACAGAAGAAGACAAGAAGCAAGCCGAATCCCTCAAGTCCAAAGGCAACGCCGCCATGGCCCAAAAGGACTACCCAACCGCCATCGACCTCTACACCCAGGCGCTCACTCTAAACCCAGGCAACGCCGTCTACCTGTCCAACCGCGCGGCCGCCCACTCTGCCGCGCGCGACCACGAGTCCGCTCGCGCCGATGCCGAGGCCGCCGTCGCTATCGACCCCAAGTACACCAAGGCGTGGAGCCGCCTGGGCCTTGCGCGCTTCGCGCTCGGCGACGCCAAGGGCGCCATGGAGGCGTACCAGAAGGGTATTGAGTACGAGGGCAACGGCGGTAGTGAGGCGATGAAGAAGGGATTTGAGACGGCCAAGAGGAGGGTTGAGGAGCTCGAGGCTCAGAATGATGCGCCTGCCGCCCGTGGCGGTGCCGGTGGTGCCGGTGGCATGCCTGATTTGAGCAGCTTGGCGAGCATGTTCGGCGGTGGTGGTGGTGCGGGCGCTGGCGCCGGTGCTGGTGCTGGTGGTGGCGGTGGTGGCATGCCCGATTTCGGCTCCATCATGAACAACCCCATGTTTGCCCAGATGGCCCAGAACCTCATGAGCAACCCTGATATGATGTCCAACCTTATGAACAACCCCCGTCTCAGGGAAATGGCGAACCAGTTCCAGGGCGGCGGCGGTCTGCCTGACATGTCTTCGCTCATGAACGATCCCAACATTGCCGATTTGTAAGTCTATTCCTTTGATTATTCTTAGCTTCTGGGAGTTCGAGAACACTAACAAGATTGATAGGGCGCGCTCGTTCATGGGTGGTGGTGGTGCCGGCGGTGCCGGTGGTGCTGGCGGAAGGTAACGAGCTGATAGAACTGTTGAGGGATGATTTATGATTCTTGCAGCATTTCTTTACCCGCTTAGCTCAGGTATAATAAAACAAGTTGGCATAGCATGAGTCTAGTGTGTACAAGCAGACCAGGAGTCTACGATTGGATTTCATGCCCCCTTTTTGAAAGACTGAACTATACTTTTTGTGCTCTACAGGGTCCCTGCGCTGATGCATGAGCTTCACGAGAACCCACAACTTGTCTGCGATTATGAACTTCGAATGCATCACAATGTTTTCAAGAGCCTGTCAGGCTACTAGCCCCTATTCTGAGTATTGAATCTACCACCCATACCTTATATACAATTCCCAACAAAATACTAAACAATCCCATTTTCCCCTGCCAACCATCCAGCTGATTAAACCATCCCACATACTCCGCAATTCGCAAATGTTGAATGTCCCTAACCCTTGATTATCCCTTTCCGACCCTCTATTTTGATCATCTCTGCTGACGTTTTCTACGTGTACCTGTTTCTGTCTTATCCGGTTTCATCGTCCCATCAGATCATGGCTTAACCAACCCAGCGTCTAGCGCTCCTGAACATCCTCAACCAAGGGCCGAACTCGCCCCACTGAGCAAGCTGGTCCTCAGGAGCATAGCTCGTCACACCAGCCATGATGGTTCTCTCAGGGTGAGGCATCATGGCCAGGACACGGCCGTCCCTGCTGGCCACACCGGCAATACCAGCCGGGCTGCCGTTGGGGTTGAAGGGGTACTCCTCCGTGACGTTCAGGCGGTTATCGACGTAGCGGATGGGGATACCGTTCTGCTCAGTAAGCGCCTGGAAGTCAGCCTGCGAGTCGAACTCGGCGCGGCCCTCGCCGTGGGAGACGACGATAGGAAGGCTGGATCCGCCCATGCCGTTGAAGAAGACCGAGTTTTTGGTTACCTCTCCTTCCTCGATCTTGACCATGCTGTAGCGGGCCTCGAACTGGGCCGAGGCGTTCTGCACAAACGTGGGGAAGTGCTCGGCGCCGGGGATCAGCGACCGGAGACGGGAAAGCATCTGGCAGCCGTTGCAGACGCCCAAGCTGAAGGTGTCCTTGCGGTTGAAGAAGGCCTCGAGCTCGGCACGGGCCTTCTCGTGCAGCAGAATGGACTTGGCCCAACCCTGGCCGGCGCCGAGGACGTCACCGTACGAGAAGCCACCGCAGGCGGCAAGACCGACGAAGTCGGCGAGCGAGCGGCCGTTGATGATGTCGGTCATGTGGACGTCCACCGCATCGAAGCCAGCGGCACGGAAGGCGAAGGCCATTTCGGCGTAGCCGTTGACACCCTGCTCTCTGAGAATGGCAACACGAGGCGTCTTGCCGAAGAAGCCAGTGATGGAGGCAGTGAAGGGAACGATGTTCTCGGCGGGAGAGTAGGTAAGGGTGTAGGAGAGACCGGGGTCTTGAGAGTCGAGGATAGCAGCATACTCAGAGTCGGCACACGCCGGGGTGTCTCTCAACTTCTGCATCTCGTACGAGGTCTTGCCCCACCACTGTTGCATCTCAGCCCGGTCGAGGGTCACGAAGGGCTTGCCCTCGCCGTAGCGAATAGCAAGTGTCTGCTTGGTAGTGGGCAGAACGACACCAATCTTGCGAATCAGGCCAGCAGGAGGACCGCAAGTGGCGAAGCAGCGCTTGAAGTTGGTCTCATCCTCGGCACGAACCTGGAAGACGGCACCAAGCTCCTCGTTGAAGAGCGCGTCGGTAAGATCGGCCAAGCTGCCGGACTTAGAAACGCCGTCCAGGGTCAAGTCGACGCCGCAGCGACCGGCGAACATCATCTCGGCAACAGTGGTGATCAAGCCACCATCGGACCTGTCATGGTAGGCAAGGACGACGCCGCTCTCGTGGAGCTGCGCAAGAGCATCGAAGTAGTCCTTGAGGAGATCCACATCGCGCACGTCAGGCGCCTCGTGGCCGATCGCGCCGAAGGACTGAGCAAGAGCAGAGCCACCCAGAGCCTTGAAGCCCTTGGCCAAGTCGACGAACAGGAGAACGGTCTCGCCAACTTCCTCCACGCGACGAAGCTGAGGGGTCCAAGTAGTGCGAACGTCCTCAACGGTGGTAAAGGCGGAGATAACGACGGAAACAGGAGCAGTGACGCTCTTCTTGACCTCGCCATCTTTCCAGGATGCCTTCATAGAGGTCGAGTCCTTTCCAACGGGGATGCTGATGCCGAGCTCAGGGCACAGCTCCATACCAATGGCCTCGACGGCCTCGTAAAGAGCGGCACCCTCACCAGGATGGTTTACAGCGGCCATCCAGTTGGCGGAGAGCTTGACGCGCCTGAGATCACCACGCTGGGACCCGGCCTTGATATCGGCAGCACCAAGGTTCAACAAACTTTCGGCGACCGCCATTCTAGCAGAAGCAGCAGGAGAAATGAGAGCAAGAGTGGGCTTCTCACCCATAGCCATGGCCTCGCCACCCTTGACGCCGTTAAGACCAAATGAGGAGAGGGTGACAGCGACATCGGCAACGGGAACCTGCCAAGGACCAACCATCTGATCACGCACGGTAAGACCACCGACTGTACGGTCACTGATGGTGATCAGGAAGGACTTGGAACCAACAGATGGCAGCCAGAAGACACGCTGAACGGCTTGTCTGAGGAGATCTTCGTCGCTAGTCGACTCGCCAAAGGCCTCCTTCAGGCTGGCAACAGGGTTGAAAGCAGGCCACTGGGGCTTCTTAGAAGTGACAATGCGCTCGAGCTTACGTCCCTTGGGGAAGAGGACATCCATGGGGACATCAATAGGACGGGGGTACTCGTTGGACTGCTTGTCGCTCAAGATGAGCTTAGAAACGCCATCGGCCTCCTTGGTGATGACGGTTCCGACGTCAGAGAAGCCGCAACGTTCCCTCTCTGTATAGGTTTGTCAGAACTACCAGCAAATACAAACAACTCGAGGTATGGGTGTGAACTTACGGCAAATGCTAGTGAAACGCTCCATACTATCAGGGTTGACGAGCAAGACGTAACGCTCCTGAGCCTCGTTACACCAGATCTGAAGAGGGCTCATGCTCTTGTCGACACACTCGACCTCGCGCAACTCGAATCTGCCACCAAAGCCAGCATCCTTCACCAGCTCAGGCAAGGCATTCGAAAGACCACCAGCACCCACATCGTGGATCATGGCGATAGGGTTCTGGACACCAAGAGCAACGCAGGTGTTGATGACCATCTGGGCGCGTCTTTCCATTTCAGGAT